TAATTCCTGTATTATAGAAAGTCCCTCAGGCCACTCCGGGTGAGGGCTACACAGAGGGGAACGACAGGAGTTTATAGAGTAGAAATGTCGACATGTATGTTGCGCTTCAATGGGACAGATAATCTGTAGCCTTAAAAACAGGATACAGGCAAGGAAGTCCCAAGAGATGCTGTGCGTGTCAAGAACACATAATTTCATGTAACTGGGTGTAAGCAATCACTCATTTTTCAAACCTTATTCCTAACATTAGGTGGGCAAGGTGAAGGACAAATTCCAATATTTAATTAACTGTTGAAGTATGCTTTCAAAATGTATTGCCACCCTGACTTATTATATTTTTTTTGTTTAGAACCTTCTCGAATCTTCCAAAATTCAATCAACTTAAATAACACCAATGGCACACCCTTTACACCTTGTAATTTCAATTTGTAAAATCCACTGTCAATATTGGCCCTCACCCGCCCCAACCCCTTAAAAAAATGCTGAAATTTTGGTTGTTTTGTTTATTTCAATGACCAAACAAGTGCAGGAGTGAAGACAACTGTTTTAAACATGCTGTTGTCTACCCATTCCCTTCTTCCATATGGATTCACGATGTATCAATTGAAAACAAAGTGGAGGGGGTGTTGGGTGGGGGTTGGGGGAAGAGTTCTTCCTTGCATCAAATGCCTCCCTCTTGGCTTTTAGTCAGCTTCTTCTAATTATCCTTCACTGCTGGTGGCATTATCCTCCCTAACCTCTGGGTAGATGCTGAAGGATTCTTGGAGGGTCATGGTTAATATTCTTACCATCTTACCTTCCCCATTGGCAGTGCTCTGGCTCGGATCATTGATGCAGGCGTACTGGTACTCGATCTGCGGCTGCTGCCCGTCAGTCTGCTCATAGCCCGGGGATGATGTGTCCGTCTCCGATGGCTGCTGTGACTGGGGGACTATGAGGTGTGTTACCAGGCTGGCACTGTTGGGTGCTGGATCAGTGTATGTGGTGAAGATCTGGTTGACATCCTGGGTAAAAATGGTGGGGTGAAGTGGTTGAGGATGATAAAATGAGACAAAATCTGCAGGGTTGCAAAAGATTTACGACACAAACGTACAGTGATAAATTTGGTTCACACTTTCTTAAAAGACACGAAGTATTGGCATTTGATATCATCCTTGTAGAACTACCATACCTGCTCACAGGGTACATACATTTCAACTGATTAAATGCATTTCATTGGTTTTTTTTATGCAGATTATAAAAGGGGACCATTACATCACATCAACAGCATACTAAGTTGTCTTGAAGCAGCACTGAAACTGTGAAGGTTAAAAAAAAGTAGTTTTATACACTTTAAGCCACAAATTATTCTCAAAAGAATGGATACTTGAGTCAAATGTTTGATTGTGAAATTTATTTCAGAGAGTCTTTTGACCCTAAATCCCTAGCATGATTTACTAGGAACCATACCCATCCTGGCAAATTCCAACACCATATGGGAAACTGCACACACACATATTTCTGACTTCAGTTTAGGGGTACTATACCCATCCCAACAGATTCCAACAATACATGCTGTTGGGGTTTCATGGGTTGAGTTCTGTTCAGGTGTAAGCTATAAATAAGTCCAATGAGTTTTGGAATTCAAGCATCAGAAATTTGAAACAGTTTCTGAGTGAACCATGGTAGTTTTACCAATCTGTGTCAATGTTTAACTCGCCCGTACCCCCCGCCCTGCAAACAGGACGCTGGGATACTCTGATGAGCTTCACAGAATCTTGTGAAGGAAATGGCCTATGACCTATGTATAAAGCATCTGGCTGCAGCTGTTCAAGACCGCAGTTAGACAATGTGCGCAAATGCTATCCGAAAACTTCCCATAGAATTGGGCACATTCCATACCGGATGTGATTTCTGTTTCATTGCGGACCATGTGGACACAATTTTGAGCGTCGCATAATGCAATCCGACCGTTCGTGATTCGAAACGGAGTCTGCGCAAGTGACGGGAATTGTAAATTTACAAAACAGATATGTTTTACAGAATTTCCGTACATTGTTACGCTTTTCAACGAGAAAAAAAATCCCACAAACTGGAATAAAAGAGAAATGAATCAGTCTCAATGGCCGTTTCAAACCTTGCAGAGTCATGACCTTGATGACGCGCAGGTCACTGGTCACGCAAAATCCAACCAATCAGAGCGCGAATTCATCAGAGTATCCCAGCATCCTGTTTGCAGGGCGGGGGGTACGAGCGAAAATGTTTAACAGCTTCACTGTTGACACAGTTTAATTGTAGTTTACATGTATTGTACATGCAGTCTTATGTGCCCACTGGAATAGAATGAAGTACATGATTGTAAAATTGACCATGACATACTGTACCCGAGTACATACTGTATCCGAGACAGGCTAGCTACATGACATATGTTGGCCCCATCATTGAGTACGCCGCTCCAGCCTGGGATCCCCACACTGAGAAAAATATCAAAAAAACAGGAGCAAGTTCAGCACAGCAGCGCCCGCTACGTCACCGACAACTACGACCGCACCTGCAGCGTAACATCAATGCTTAACGACTTGCACTAGAGTCCACTCAAGGCCAGGCGTCTCCAGAGCCATCTAGGGATGCTTTATAGGATCTGCTTCAACGTGGTAGACATACAGTACACTGGAACACCTTCCTCACTGAAACCACATCTAGTACTAGAGGTCACAGTTCACGGTTCTTCGTGCCCCATTGCAGAACACTGGTCTATTCCTCATCATTCTTCCCACAAACTTGCAGAGACTGGAACTCCCTGACGTTTGACGCGCAGGTCACTGGTCACGCAAAATCCAACCAATCACGTGTACTATACATGTACTTATAGTTTTATCAGAACAGCGAGTCAAGCGCATTCATTGTTCTTGGAGCATGCCCCCCCCCCCTCCCCCCGCAGTGCATTGTTCTTCTCATCGCAGAAGTCTGCACTTTATGAAAGGAAGGAATGACTATCTGTATTGTGGTCTCTGGATTACGGAAGTGTTGCTGGTAGTGCTTCATAGCCTCGTCCCTCCTGCTGAAACCGTTGCGACAGTGGTAGCAGTTCCAGTGGGCACCCTTGAAGTATTTCTACTCGTGTATGATGCCGTGGACGATGCAGGATCTACAACACCGCAATATTTTAAGACCTGGGGAGGGATACAGTAGAAGATTGGTTTGACAATTTTGACATAAGCTGACAGCCGTATGCACTTTGACAAAACATGAACTATGGATCTTTTTATATGGTTCTCTTGCTGTAGGCACAAGTAAGCTATTGACCTGAGTTAGGACTCTTGTTCAGGCAGGGATGCAAAGATTTTCCCGAGACACAGTCGGCGTTTGGGCATGGCCTGTGACAATTGAGTCTATCGAACACTGATATCTGCTAAGAATAACCACCCCAGGTATCTGTCAATTTCATAAAACTCCCACAAATGCCACTACCTTGTCCTGCTGTCCACTACCTTCAACTTATCTTAATTCAACTCCCAAACCTTTCCACAAACACGGACCACAAGTCGTCTTGTTGCATGACTCATGAAGAGAAAGTGAAAACATTGTCCTTAACCTAAAACTTATTTCTTGGGATCCAGTCACAAGTATGCGAGAGCTTGGTCTTGTTCCCAAATGCAAACTCACCCCCAAAGTTGATGCCTTTATCCACGTGCTTGACCCTGTAGTGCACCTTGAGGAGAATCTCATCAGTGAAGAGACTGTCCTGGGAGCAGAATGGACAGTGCAGATGCGGAGCCTTCATCAAGGAGTGGCTACACTCCCTGTCTGTGCATTGTATGGGCGTCCAGTCTGCCTCAGCGCCTTTCATTCGCACTGATGGATGCGCCTACAGTTGCAAAAAAAATGAGACAACCGTCAAGTTTACATGTATGATGTAAAAAAAAAAATATATATAAATGTATGAAACGGCAACACCAATTAAATCTTCACAGAAGTTTTCAAAGTGGAGAGGGGGAAACAAATTAGGCCAAATAAAAAAACAAAAACATGTCTAGCGTCCCCGCCTGCTTCCTTTTAGGAGGCTGCCTCCTTAGGTTCTTTTTTTTTAAACCAAACTTTTTTTTAAATTTTCAATAGTGACATCAGTTTAGCCTCTTACATTGTATCTGTTGCATCATGGAGCTATAAACACATTTCAATATAAAGCTGGTATGTAATTTGCCGAGTCCAATGGCGGCCATTTAAAAAAAAAATGGCAGCCATCTTGAAAAATAGCCCGGTCGGGCTATTGGGGAGGACAAAAAAAAAAAGAAGGGTCTCCCGCTTCCTTTTTTAAAAAAAAAGCAGGACCCTAAGCATATTCTTTTTGGAAAGATTCCCACATCTGGCCATCACTTGTCATCCTGTGTTTATAGTGTGTACAATGTGAGACTGGTCTGAACATTTCTAAGTGTTTTCTCAGTAAATACCCCAATAAATTCCCTGCTAAATTTGACATACTTTCTGATGGCTGATAGGTCGCTGAAGGAAAACATTATTGATGGCCAGATATGGGAATCTTTCCGAAAAAAAGTAGCACTAGCCATGATAGGGATAGCGAGCAGTAGCCATTCAATATTGTGAAGTGTCCGGAAACTGGGCGATTTCACATTTTGCTTTTTGTTTAAAAAAGTCACACGACGAGGTGTCCAACTTAAAAATATAAATAATTTTCCAGAATATCTTGGGTACCTACCACATGAATAGCCATATTCAACAACTCCTTTGCCTTGAACATGCCTTGAATAATCACATAAATAAATTCTGGGGGAAAATATCAAGGGGAAAAACTAGTGTTCAGCGTAAACAGCGCCCTCCAGAAAAAAAAGAAAAATGTGGCTTTAAAGGGTTTTCCAAAATTCGATTCATTCCCAGTGCGGCTTGTTCTATTAAACCAATTTGAAGAAGAATAATTATGTAATTTCCACACAGCTACTCAGAAAGCGTGGGATGTCAAATAAGAAGAGACAAAAAGGTATTATTGAGCTTCCGTTACGGGAGACGCAGGCATCTCGTTAAAAAAAGAAGGATGCCAGTTCAATGATGAAGCTGCGAACCTGCGACGAAGGCCGAGGTTTCGAAACAGCTTGCATGTGAGGGACACATGAGGGCAGCATTCAACAACATAAACACGCGACTCTTGAAAATCTGGCGCTACGCCGTATTCTTCCGAGTGGCTGAAAACTTTCTTATTACGTCAGTATCAGTACTACAAGTTTGTTTTAATTATAAGGTAACATTAATTTGGTTGTTTTAATAGCTATTGGTGAAATCTGCATTATTTTATTTAGTGAAACGTACTGCAGAAGTAGCCGTCATGACTGCACTCCCGTAGACGCACGCACGTCACTGGCACTGCGTTTATCAATAGCGTCGTATCATTGTATCAAATTCGTTATGTGTGTTCGTGAAGAGTTTGAGATGCTGGAAAAAAAGTCCATACTGGGCCACCAGGCAAGATTACCATATGCGAAGTTCACTAATTTTCCTCTGTATTGACTAACAAGCCCCCAGATAGCAATTTCATGTCATCAAAGTCAATTTGAGCAGTGAGAAAATACAAGCATTTTCTTAGAAAACACTTCAAAATGCAGACATTTCCCACAGAACCGCTGCACAGTTGCCCCTAAACTCCACACAATACCTCATGACATACTCACGTAATATGCGCAGAACAAACATCGCTGGATTTTGTCGGGTTTTTTTTTGCTAAAATGATGAAAAATATGCCCTTTCCGCACTGACAACCTGACGTGCACGCATATGATCCAGCGATGATTTTCAGTTGCAAAAGAAATGATAGTATGCGCATGTGTACAAATGCAAGTACCGTACCTCCCGCGGCGCGCTCCGAGCGAACCGAAAAATCATCGCTGGATCATTCATATGTGTGCACGTTTCTAGTGTCAGATTTGCTCAGTGCGAAAAGGGCATATTTTTCATCATTTTAGCAAAAAAAAACGACAAAATCCAGCGATGTTTGTTCTGCGTATATTACGTGAGTATGTCATGAGGTATAGTACGGAGTTTAGGGGCAAACTGTGCAGTGGTTCTGTGGGAAATATCTGCATTTTGATGGATGTTTTTGTACTTAATTAGTGTTTTGTGCTGCAAACAATTTTGCGGGGTTCTTCATCTACGTGGAGCCTACGTGGAGCCTCATAGTTCTAGGAGTAAAACGTGAGATGTGCCCATTGTATTTTTCACAACACAAGTGAAAGCCCAACACAATGAAAGCCCAATGCTGATTGGCTGCTAAAAAAAATAAGTAACATATTTTATTTTTATCAGCCAATCAGCAGTGAGCTTTTACATTGCATCTAGCTTTCACATTTGCCATCTTGGTTTTTGAGTCTGTTTTCTGGTTGTCGTCGTCTTTTAGTTCTACCCCTTAATTTCCCTCATAAATCAAAAGCCTGCCCTCTTTCCACAAAATTAAAGTTTTGATAATAAAGAAGGTGTCATTACCACCTGTTCAGATGTGTCAAGAAATATCAGAATGTCACTTTTTAGTGTCATTTAGTTGGCTGTCTTGATGAGTCTTTCAAATATAGGGATGGGTCCTAAATGTAAGGATTACCCATAGGTATGTCATAGATAAAGGGCAGTGTTTTTAATATATGAAGAAAATTTGGGGGTAAAATGACGACGACAACGACAAAACGCAACACGAAAATAAAGATGGCGATCACCGCGCGATGGACTATGTGTACCATGAGCACACAAGTCGCGCTGCATGACACCAACTGGCCTGTAAACCGCGTAGGACAATCGTAATTTCTACCCCAAGAAACTTTTCAAAAATTGCCAAAAATGTGTCAAAACATTGAGAGAAGTCTGTTTAAGTTGACAATGTCATTTTTTAGAAATAAAAAACGTTCCTGATTCTAATTTGATAAAAACAAAACAGGGGCCCTACACTACACGATTGCCCTAATTTTTCCCTTCAGTGACCTATCAGCCATCAGAAAGTGATAATAGGCCTGTGTCCTAAACAGTCAGATTTAGCAGGGAAATGTTGAAGTAGGCCTGTATTTGAAATTGAGAAAACACAGAAATTTTCAGACCAGTCTCATACGGTTTGTGCTCAGGGTGAAAAGCGATGGCCAGATACGGGAATCTGTCCAACCCCAGCTCCAATGCTCATCGGCAATTCAACATGATATGAGCTGGTGGTAGTCCAAGTAACTTATCGCTTTTTCAACATTCAGACATGGTCTGGCAAGAAGGTCACCAGACCATGTCCGAATGTTAAAAGGGCGATAAGTTGGGTCCAAGTTACTCGGACTAAAGCTGAGGCACACATCTGTTTTTTGTCCAGCAACCAAAATATGGCAGAGGCTGTAAAAAATGGCCTCGGAAAAGCCATTGAAATCATTTTTTTTCTTCATATTTTAGTTTAATAAAGCTAGTTTGAGTAACACCAGCTCCAATGCTCATCAGGAATTCGACATATAGCGCTAAAACTGTGTTGTGCAGACACAGGAGTATATGAGAACATGGGAATCTTATGCTTTCAAGGTTTTGCCTCCTCTAGAGACCTTTATATTTTAATACTTATATTATTTTTTATTTCTGTCATGAAGAGGAAATTCATGTGTTTGAAATTGATACTAGATTCTAAGAGGCCCTAAAAACGGGACTCTCTGTATAGGTCTGTATCACAAAAATGGTCCCTTTCCCCTCTATTAATCCCAACCCAGATTGTGATACAGATACAGAGAGCCCTGTTTTTCAGGGCATCTTAGAATCTACAACATACTTTTAGCTCCGAGCAGCTCTATATGTCAAATTCCTGATGAGCATTGGAGCTGGAGTTACTCAAGCTAGTACTAAGCATTGTTCTGTTTCAAGTCAACCATTTGCTTCGTAAATGATTGCTGCATGGCGTGAAGTAAGTTTAATCTCATCTGGGTTTGGATAATAGGGGAAAAGGTAAAGTTTAGTATAGGCCAAATTTCACGGCCTCCGCCATTTTCCAACTGCTGGACAAAAACTAGATGTGCCTCCAGCTCTACATGTCAAATTCGTGATGAGCATTGGAGCTGGAGTTTCTCATCTCCATCTTGTATGGCAAGTTTTCAATACCTTAATTTTTGGGTCTCTCATAGACGGTATTGAGAGTCCCAAATTTTTGGACTAGAGTTTCTCAAGCTAGAGCTGGGGGAACAACTATTGGAAAGAGTTCCATACCTGGACATCACTTGACACCCGGTGCACAAACCCTATGAGACTGGTCTGATAAATTTGAAGTGTATTCTCAGTAAAAACTTCAATATTTTTCTTGCTAAATTTGACTTTTAACTTGTAATCCCTTTCTGATGGCTGATGGGTCACTGTGGGGAAATATTAGTGATGTCGATGCAATATGTATGGAATTCTTCCCCAACTATTTTTTCCCCAGCAGTCAGAAAATGGCGGAGGCCATGAACAACTGAAATTGTCTTTTTCCCCCATTATCCAAACCTAATTGAGATTAAACTCACCTAATACAATGCAGAACTCATCACAGAGCAAAGGATCGGCTTGAAACAGAACTAAACCGACTAAAAGATGGGGGGAAAATGATGATTTTGGTGGCTTTTCAGATAGAACCGTCGCGTCGCAGCTGTGTTGTGGCGACATTTACAGCGCACATCTGAAACTGGTATGGTAACCACATGTACATCATGCTGCATAGAGACATGAACACAATATGGTTACCATACTAGTTTCAGGTGCGTGTTGTGATTTCAAATTTCGACCCCTCCCCCTAGATATCCCACCGGTCATGGCTTCCAATAGTTTGCAACTGCTTTATGTGCAGTTTCTTTATATTTCCAGTGTGTTTTTGGTCCAACGTAATAACACCAAAATGGATGAGAAGCAGGGAGCAACTTCTGATGATGTCCCAACTGGGGAGGTAACGTCTACCACAGTTACGGAGGGTGATGTTGTCAAGATGCCAACAGATGTGGCCATCACTATGGATGCTATTCCCAATGAAGATAAAGAGGACAAATCCAAAGGTGACTTGTTATTCTTTTACTTGGTGAAGACGTTTGCCCCTTTGCCAGGTCAGCTAAGTGTAATCCCATTCATGTGATTTTGTCCATTCTTGCCAATTGCAAAACTTGATACTATATTCCAGTGGAATTCACTTTGCTGCAAAACAGTTTCATTGTTTTCCAGGTTGTTTTTTTAAATTGGGGGATCGAGGGTTCAATTTCATAAAAAATTGTCATTGTTGAACTGTCCAACTTGTTAATTTCTGATGAATGAATGCAAAGTTTACAAAGCCATTCATATCTTAAAACATTAATTCTTTGTGATTAATACAAAGCCCATTGAGAAAAGTTAAATAAAAATATCAAAATATTACGAGGCATCAAGTATCAAGTATCAGAAAACCTTACCAGCTCAAGTACCAGACTGGTGATAGTACAAATCATTGTTTGTGTTTGGTAGTGTTTAATTACGTACAAAAAGAATAGTTTACAAGTAATGAGTGATTCAGAGTGAAATGGGAGGAATATTATCGCAAGGTAAAATCTGGACTTTTCCATTTCACGAGGCAAAGCCAAGTGAATTGGGTGGGAAAGTCCAGATTTTACCAAGAGATAATATTTCCCCCATTTCACAATTTAAAGCCATTCATTATTTGTTATATATAACTGATTTATATATCCTTGTCATTTGATATATTTTAATTTTTTATTTCAATACAAAATTGGTGAAAACTGTATTTCTCTCTTCCAAACCACTCCTTCATGAAAATGTTTGAACTCAACTCTGTAGCGCTGGCTCTTTGGAGCAACACGCGCCGCGCGCAATGCTGAACGCACAACGTACCAGCATACATTTGCACACAAATACAGCTTCATGGAACAAGAATGATCCTTCGCTTGTACCCCCGCCCTGCAAACAGGACGCTGGGATACTCTGATGAGCTTCACAGAATCTTGTGAAGGAAGTGGCCTATGACCTAAGTATAAAGCATCTGGCTGCAGCTGTTCAAGACCGCAGTTAAACAATGTGGCAAATGCTATCCGAAAATTCTCGTAGAACTGCTCATATTCCATACCGGATGTGATTTCTGTTTCATTGCGGACCATGTGGACAAAATTTTGAGCGTCGCATAATGCAGTCGTTCGTGATGCGAAACGGAGCCTGAGCGAGTGATGGGAATTGTAAATTTACGGGGAAAAAACATCTCTAAACTGGAAAAAAGAGTAATGAATCAGTCTTAATGGCCTTTTCAAACCTTACAGGGTCATGACCTTCATGACGCGCAGGTCACTAGTCACGCAAAATCCAACCAATCAGAGCGTGAATTCATCAGAGTATCCCAGCGTCCTGTTTGCAGGGCGGGGGGTACGAGCGAAGACATTCATATTTTGTAGCATTCATTTTTCAATTATCCATGGGTACGTTACAGTGTATATGAAGACTATTAAACTTTGGAATGCTTTTTATTCAAAGATTGAAGTTTATTGAATTGATTTTCTTGTGCAGTGTCTCACTTGAAAACTTATAATTAAACCTAGAAATATCTCATGCTTAAAAAAAATCAAAGTAACTTGATTTTATCTGATTGGAATTGGTCTTTTAATTTGTTTTTTTTTGTCTATCAGGTCTTGACCCACAAGATAACCATTCCACCATCACCTCTGACGGACCGGTGACTGGCGCTGCCATAACGGATCCTTATCACTGTCTGACACAACAGCACTTCACCTCAGAGATCTTTAAGATTGAGATCCAAAACCTCCCAAGACATTTTGGATTTGCGGTGAGTTTGCTCTCTAAGCACTCAACTCTCGATAATGATAATACAGTTTGTGCTCTATTAAGAGTTTATGATGTTCTCCATGGTGAGGATTTCTCAGGGTCTTTTTGTAATTTTGTATAACAGAATTTAAAGGCCATTGGATGAATTTCACTGAAACCTGGAAATATCCTAGCCTCATGTCTATATGAAAGTAATGGTAAACTGCATGTAGAAAGTTGTAATCTTTTTTCCAGTGCACTTTTTACATTGCCTGTATACTTTAATAGTTTTTTCTACTGTTGCTGTGATATCGCTTTAGGTATTTCACATTTACAGCTTTGTGATTTTCTGTGCAACTTGTGAAACTAAAATTCATTGCATTGAAAATGTACATGTACACGTAGCAGCTTGTTGTTGAAGTATCTGACTGACTGCCTGTGCCTCGTGCACAATGAACAAAGAGTCACATCAACCTCAACCAAAACACTTTGTAACTTTTCGTCCTTAAACAGCAGTGACTCTGAAGTTCCAGCTCATGACATCACTGCCCCACTCACAGAGTTGTAATGACTCGAGTCAATGACTCGACTCGAGTCCGACTCGAATCACAAATTTTGGTGACTCGACTTGACTCGAGTCCCTAAGGGCAAATGACTCGACTTGACTCGAGTCCCTCATCAGAAGACTCGACTCGACTCGAGCGAAGGCTAATAAGAGTCCCAAAAATAAAAGCACAACTTTGCGAAAAGTATTTGCAATGACTTACGGTGCAAAATTTAGACTCAATTCGCTTTGCGAATAGCACTCTTGTACAAATATACAATGTGATTCTAGAACGCACAAAATACTATCCAGGAACCAGATTTGTAAACACATTTTCTAATTGGCTGTTTCATCATTGGTTTTGGGCGATTTCTTATTAAAGCTCTTGGATTCGAATGCTGGCTAAACTTGTGGCCTCCTTTCATAAATGTTGGTATAAAGTGTTCAAATAATCGTGACTCGAATTGACTCGAGCTAAATATTTGACTCGACTCGACTCGACTCGACCTTTCGGCCTAATGACTCGACTCGACTCGAGTCACTTCTTTAAAATGACTCGACTCAACTCGAGTCACTTCTTTAAAATGACTCGACTCGACTCGAGTCGCAAAAATCAGTGACTCGTTACCACTCTGCCCACTCATGAATATGGAACTTGGCACTTTCTTAAAAATATTTCAAAGCCTGGATCATCGCAACCCTTCATGAACTAAAACCTCAAAATCTGTTTCAAACGCACTTGAGTACATGTATCTGCAGTGGAAAATGTAGGGTATCAATGTAGATGTAGGGTATAAATGTAGATGTTTGTGCCAATTCATGTAGATTTTCACACAGACAAAGTTTAAAAACAAACTTGCTCATTTAAAGGCACACAAAAACCTCATTTAAGTAACAGTTAACATGTACATAAGTATGCAGTTTTGTAATCCATTTGCCTAGACATTCATTTTCAAGTGTTTCTGAGCCAAGAATATAAGATTTGCTGTGATCTGGCAGATGCAAGATCATGAAGATAGGCGCAGATACAAGTGGCGCTTTCAGCGTGCTCAATGCATGTTCCTGTGCCTCTTCCCATTTCACATGATTTGGTTTTCATTTCTTAGGCCCCCCCCCCCCCCAAAAAAAGTCTCCGGTTTGTGGTATGGAGCTTGCCCAAAAAGTGGTGCGGCGACGCGGCTTTTTTTTTTGCTTCAAATGTCAGCTGATGACTGCAAATGGTGCCCGACTAAACTTAGTGCAAATATATGGGAGTCCATAGAGGCCATATAAAGCTTATTCTCGATCATAACCCCATCTAAAAACATGTTAAAATTGTGCAGAAGCAGGATTCCAGTCAAACCAGTGAGTTTGGCGGTTTTGAGACATCTTTTTTTATTGAAAAAAAAAAACTTTTTCATTTTGCCGACGCGCATGGCTACGGCGACGCGTGCGCATACCAGAAACCGGAGACTTTTTTTTTTGGCCTTAGTCAGATCTGTAATTGGCACTGCAATGGCTGAAAAGTTTGGAATGAATTTACAATAGTAATTCACAAGGCCCATAAGTGATCTAACTTCCTTTTTCATTCTTGGACGAGATGCATTCAGGATTTTTGTGATCTTTTCCGGCTGTGGCTTTACAACACCGTTTCCTACAATGTGCCCTAGAAAATCAAGGGAATCATATCCAGCCATACATTTCATTGGTTAAGCAGTCAAATTTCCTTGCGCAAGGGGTTCAAAACATCTGAATTATTTTGATGCGTTGCTCCCAAGTATCCGTGTATATCAGAATATCATCAATGAAATTCACGACATGCTGTATGTTTTCCAGCAATTTTCTCATCATGCGTGTGAAAGTAGCCGGTGCATTTACCGTTCCGAGAGGTAACACAGTGAATCAGTACAAACCCTGGGAGGTAATGAATGTAGTCTTATCTTTGCCTGCGTCGGCAATCGGTATTTGCCAGTACCCTTTTCGCGGTGCCTACTCGTGCCATGAGGTTTTTTTGATTTCGGATTGGTTCAGGATCGAAAACGGTGACTCTGTTTAGTTTCCGAAAATCTACGCAAAACCGATTTGTGCCGTCTTTCTTTCGCACTAGAACGATGTTTGAGGCGTACTTCGACTCTGATTTTTCGACAACACCGAGTTTGATCATGGTATCGATTTCCTTCTTGATTACATCTTGAGTTGAAAATGGTACCAGATATGCTTTGGAGTAGATTGGGTTATCCGTTGTGAGTTTGACATTATACTCAATGAGATCTGTGCAACCAGGAAGATGGGTTAAGACGTTGGCGTATTCTGCGAGCGTTTCCGTCAGTTGCTGTTTCTGTGCTACTGTTCGAGTCTCACAGATCTGCACATCTTACCAAGTTTCAGTTCGTGTTTTCGGTAGTAGTTTTACCTCCATCATTCCTTCTTCGATCTCGTCATCGATTACTCTGTGGCTAACGTGGGTGAGACTTGCCGCGGCATGGATGATTTCTGGTGCGTTTTGGGTTTCTGATCGAACTATGTACTTTTTGAGGAGATTTATGTGAAATGTACGCAGCTTACCGTTCATCTCGATACAATGTCACGTTGTGCAACTTTCTGTAATACAGGAAAAGACCCTTTCCATTGCATGAGTAATTTGTTTGCGTCAGTTGGCAGGACAACTAATACTCGGTGGCCGGTATCAAACTTTCGATCTCAAGTACGCGCGTCGTAGTATTTCTTATAGCGAGTACTGGACTTCGCGAGTTCTTCTCAAGCTAGTTCGCAAGTAGACTCTAGCCGTTCACACAAGTCTATGACATATTGGTAAGTTGTCTTTACCTCTTCATCTAATTCTTCTCCAGTCCATAACTCTCTGAGGATAGTAAGAGGACCTCGTACTGAACGACCGTACATGAGCTCAAAGGGAGAGTACCCCATGCTCTCTTGTGGAGATTCTCAGTAAGCAAACAACAACGCAGGGATATACCAATCCCAATCACGAGGTCTCTCACTGCACATGCGCCTTAACATTCGTTTCAGTGTACCATTGAATTTCTCAACAAGTCCATTACAGATTGGATGGTAGGGTGTTGTTTGCAGTTGTTTCATTAACATAAGTCTGCCTATTTCTTTCATTAGATCCGAGGTGAATGGTGCGCCCATATCTGATAGCATTTCATTTGGATCGCCCATTGGAGTGAAGATTTCAAACAAAGCTTCCACTACGCGTTCTGTTTCAATCCTAGGTAGGGCTACGGCTACCAGATAGCGCGTTGCATAGTCGACCAAAGTCAGAATGTATCTATTGCCTCGTTCCGTGATGGCGTGAATTGGTCCTATTAAGTCTATGGCTACTCGTCTAAATGGCGTATTTATTAAAGGTATTCTACCTAGAGTAACCTTGCCGACACAACCTTTCGCGACCGTTCTTTGGCATATGTCACAGGAAACGCAGTATCTTCGGATGTCGCCTTGCACGCCTGGCCAAAAGAAATTTGCAAGTACGCGGTCTGTTGTTTTCTTGATACCGAGATGCCCTGCCATGGTGAAATTGTGTGCATGCCTCAATACCTTCGAGTGCATTTTCTTTGGGAGTACCAACTGTGTGATTACACGATAGTTTTCTGTCGATGGTGAAGCCAATTCATGGTAGAGTAATCCGTCCGAGATGAAATACCTAGTTTCGTTATCCTTACCAGTTCGTCGGCTTTGACCTGTTTCCGCGAGGGTCAATAGCTTTTCCAACAACGGATTTTCATGTTGCGCTTTAATTATTTCCGTACGAGATTCGGAGAGATTTTGCACTTCGAGAAATTTAAGATGACGCAAGTTCGTGACTTTCTTTAGCTTTTGCGCTCTTGTCTCAACTGCAGCTGTTTTCTCGTCGCAAGGGCTTTGGCATTTCTGTTCCGGTGTGTCATTTCATTTACCTGACCAACTGGGATCAGGATCACGCGGGTCTCTAACACCTGTTATGTTTCCCTATAAGATCGTACAAGGGATTTGGCATACACAATGAATTCACGGTTCCTACAAAATACAGCGAATCTATTTCAATACGCGCGACTGAAACATTCCGTGTACTGTCTAGAAGAACACACTTTTGTTTTGTCTCCAACATTTGTTCCTTCTTAACTAAACTCTGTTTGACGACAACCGTACTACATCCGCTATCACGGAGAACCTTAACCGTTTAGTTGCCTTACTGGAATTTGATTACCGATTGTACACGCGACACTAATCATGGGGACTTCATGCCCACAAGACAGTTTCAAGTTTTCTCCTATTTGACCTGCACATTCGCATAGTGATGACTTTTTGGTTATGCACCCAGCAACTTCTTGTATCTTGCCCTGTTTCTTCGTCGGTTCGTTCTGTTACTTGCAGATTGCAGATTGAGCTAGATAGCCCTATGAACAAGAACAATAGAAGCACTATCAAACTAATCCTAGCGCAAGTGCGTTTGTGAGGGGAGATTCCAGAAATACCTAACAGCTTGGTTTCATGTGACTTAGTGCGTGTTACATAATCGCCAACATGACATGACAATCTGTCTATAGGCATCGCAATTTGGGCTTCTCAATGCACGCTGCCTAGCAAGGGCTTCCATAAACCACCTTGAACATCTATCGTGTATAACCACACACCTGAGACTACCGGCTTTTCTCAATTTGTTTTTTCATTTCCCGGACGAGCCCCCATTTGTTACATTCCCTGGTTTGCTCCTCCCCAAGAAATATAACCCTCAGTAGTCTGGTACACCGTCACACAAAATAAATTGTCAATTCACTCGAATGAATTGACAATTTATTTTGTGTGACGGGTGTACCAGACTTCTGAGGGTCATATTTCTTGCGGAGGGGCAAACCAGGGAATGTGACACTGATAGTTGGTTACCATCTGTTCTTGGCCTGCACATTACTGAGGACACAGGAAGTATTGACAATTCCCTACTTTAAAGTAAAATACGTTTCTATTCTTGATAATATGCTGTGAACTTTTCTCGTTACCAGTAAGGTGTTTCACGGTAATATGCGCCAATCACAAGATGGAATTTTTGCAGATGAAAATCAAATTAGGTTTCGCCCTTCTCCGACGTATATACACTGTTTACTCGGTGTGTTAAGGGCCTGTCACATTATATGTGATCTCATAGGAGACCTTACGGCGACCAAAAATATTTCATAAATTTAACAATCGCAGCGAGGACACAAGAAAATGACATCTTTCTGTATCAAAGAAGCTCAAGCTATGCTCATACTGTGCTCTTTCCACGCTTACGATGCGCTCAACTTGCTCTCTATGCACCCCTGTCAAGCTCAATTACTTGATCTAGTCGCTGCGCTGTCACTGCACTCTTACTACGCTCTGCTCCCTGTTGATACGTCCTAGTAGCTCGCGTCGCGCTCTCTATCCGACCAAAATACGCTCATTTGACGTCACTTGCGCTGTATAAATACCACGACAAAACGGTCAATACACAGTCCAGTTTCAAAATTATTCTACAAGTTCACCGCATTCGAGTTACTTTCTCATGGAGACTACATCGACTGTCTTGCGCCTAGGCTGCCTCAATGCCACTTCAATGTCGCACGATTCATGCTCGCACAGCGCCCGAGTTGCATCATTGCGGCATCCTGGCCAGAGCGCAGAGGTGTTGCGATTGTTTTGGGCATGTTCAAAGACCTTGGCACTCATCGAAGACCATTAAGACCCTCCGGCGCCCATCTGGTGACCTATGTAGTTGTCGCTGTGATCTAGTAGTTGTTTTTGAGCCCCAGCTATTTTTCAAGGACGCAGTAAGAGCGCACATAAGATTGCAGACAGTGTGACAGGGGCTTTACCTCCCAAGAGAAAGTTGCCTCATACACGAACATCAATGCGTTGTGTACCACGTGTGCAAGCACTGAGAAAAAGGAACATTGTTCTTGACAGCTTTCCAGTGACTGCTGACTCGCTGTGTGTTGTGCATGCCCTTGTCTTGGTGGCTTGCTGCTGCTTGGCCTGGCAGCATGGTGCTCTTGGTCATTTTCTGCCTGCATGTGGAATCACATGAAGCTCAATCTGCTTCCCTGGCTGCAATGGTCGGCTGGGATTCCGTCTTGGGAAGCAACGACAGCACAGTTTGAGGAATGAGAAAGCCTTGACTACAGCTGCACGACAGTCAGCGTTAGTCAGCACTGTAGACGAGGGAATTAATTGAGCTATTGATAAGTTTGAAGATTTTCTGCAAGTTCTAGATATTCAATAGCTTGGGCAGGCAAAGTATAAGTTGTTCCCAGGGTATAAATAATTGCAGCTGAAACGTTCAGTGGGTTCAGAATGAAAAAAAAATGGCAGTATTGATGATAACCATACAGAGGACCTTGCCTACTCGCTTGGGACAATTTGGCAACTGTGCTGATTGCTTGCACACTTTAACTACTACAAAGATGTACAAAGCAAGAGTGGCTACTAAACAGGTAGTGTTGGTAACAAAATTAATCCAAAAAAATGATGTCTTTAAAGACAGTCTCTGGCAACAATATCGGAATCACACCAACAGTAATTGTTGGCACCCAGAGTCCTGCTGATATCTTTGCTGCTCGTGATTTAGAGGCTTTTTCCTTGAATGTCAGAGGATTGCGCACTGCAGAGAATCTCTCAGCTGCTATGATCACTACAAAAAAACTGGAAACAGCACCAAACATGTATTTGACACTCTGGAATGCTTTGTACACTTTGGATGAACACAATACAAATATAAATTGATTTCAGCTTTGTTTGTTTTGGATTTCAGCGTTTTTCCCTCACTTGCCGTGTACAAAAGTATAGGAGATTTCAAAATTTCAGCTTTTGTACACCTTTTTCAGCTGTTTTCAGCTATTTTTATCAGTGGTCAATCACACCCCTGAATAGTCCAGAAAATGTTGCCTCATTTTTCTTGAGAATCAATTGAAACTCAGCAAACTTTGGGCCAACTTTTGAAATAAACTTCCTTTCCACGCACAAAAATCCCAAAGATTAAAAGGGGGGGGGGGGAGTTGGTAAAACAAATGTTTACAAACAAAAAGCAAAAAAAATGAACACAAAACCAAAACTTCACAATTCATAAGCTGCTCGAATGAGACTCGCACCAACAATCTCCTGCTTCCTAGTGCAGATGTCTCAACTACTTGACCATCAGGCTTGCTGGGGTTGGCTGGCTGGTCCCAATCTGATATAGCAGGTGCCACAATCAATGAGTTTAATTAATTGTTTACGTAGGGGAGTTGTGAATGTGAATACCTGGTTTTGCCCTTCACCAATGTAAATTTGAATGCACTGTATATTCAGTGCTGTCTGAGAGCTTACGAGCAAAGATTCTGCCAGCTTGCTTGGGTGGGATATGAACCCATGACCTCCTGCTTACTAGTGCAGACATCTTAACCACTCAATAACAGAGCTTGCAAAGGTTAGTGGGCCAGTTTGAATCTTGTGCATATATAGCTTTGGTTACCACAAGAAATTCACAAGCCTGTTGGAGTGGGATTCGAACCCACACCTTCATGTTTAATAGTGCACTCTTCATTTGATTGACAGGAAGAACCACAGTAGGATGGCATGTGAGTTGGAGCCAATTAAGCCATCGGTGAGTAAGCTAGGTGACAAATATTTGTTGATAAAAATATAGATTTTATTTAAATTTATTTGTAGTATTGTGAATGATTCTATGAATTTCAATCTGAATGATAGTTCACTTTGGCACATAGTGTTAGGTTAGCTTGACTGGTGTGATCTTTGAACTCGGGTAGATAGATAGAGTCAACTTACTTGTACTAAATTAATATTTCAACCTGGATTTCTTGTTAGATAAACTACACAGCATGTGAATCTTTTGTGGGGTAAATATTCCTGATATTGGAGATGTCTGATTTGTATTCATTGTTTGTTTGCCCACTCACAGCCAGTATTGGAGAGTTATCGCAACAAGTGTGAGTTTACCATCGGCAAGGGTGTAGATGGCATCGGTGAGTGAAACTGGCATTTATTTTTATTAATCCAATCTCTTCATTTTTTGTGTGTATCAGCTCCGTTCACAAGTACCCCTTCGCCTGGATATAAAGTGTGCACACAGGTACGTTATAAAAACCGCAACAGAAAGTTTCAGGATTTTTTTCAGTTATCCCCCTAATTTCTTGTCAGGTCTTCATGAAACTTAGCCCTGGATAAATTGTGCAAACGTTTCAGTTTCATGTCTTATTATTTTCATTGACAGATAACACTGTTGGTTTCCGGCTTGGTGCTTACAAAGGTAAGTATTTCCTCTGAAGTTTCCTTTTTGCTAAAGCAAAGATCAGCTTTTATGTTAGATTGGATCGGCTGTCGAGGGGCGTGGCCTATTAGTAGCTACTGCTGATCAATGCAAACCAATCAGAATGCAACACACAGAAAGATTGACAGGTGTACATATTGTGCATTGTCTAATATGTCTGTCAGGAATTAATTATTGAAAAGAAAGAAACAAGCCACAAAAGACTTAAACCCTTGTCATCCCCTTTGCTAACCAATATGTTGGCTTACTTTTGTGGCATGAATATTGAGAGTATATGTTTGTACTTTCAACATTGACCAGCAAGCTCTTTTACTCAGTAGGGATTTTTCAACAATTACATTTGTACAAGCAAGAATTAGGTTTTAAATAAAAACATTCAGGAAAATCACTGTTTGTTTAAATGTTGCTAGTGAACACTTTTATTTATTTTATCACTGATCTTGCTTTTACACGCAAATTTGTTTGTCCTATAAAAAGGACGTGACTTTTAGAAACATGGTTTGCCCTGCAATTTTTTTTCTCAAGTATTACTAGGTATCAGAAAGACGTATGAGCTCAAACACCGATTTGGTGATAGTACATTTCTGTATTATTTGTGTTTAGAGTTTTAAATTACACAAGGAAATCGCAGCTTTAATGAACATATAAAAAGCAGCAATTCCTTGGATACTGTGCAAATTAAGGTTCATCTTGTATGATGCTAACTTTGCAACGACATTCATATTTTACAGCATTGATTTTTCAATTACCCAAATTTGAAGTACCCTTGAGTCCATCTAAAAGAAATATTAGAATATTGCTTTGCATTTAAACATCATACAGACATGGAGCTCATAATGTAATACAACAGACTAGTGGTGCTACACAGATTATGTACAATTATAGAGCATGCAAGTCTCGCCAGTTCACATTCACTTTTCATGTGAACATCTTGGTTCCAAACACTGACTAGTCTAGCCACAGACTCCCGTGTTTGAATTCACCCAATTCACCCGGTGAATGGAAGTGGAGGTCCACATTTTTTTCAATTTACTATAGTAATCAACTTGCAATAGTTTTTGAATGTGTTGTAAATTGGAAAGATTTTTTTCTTGTTCAGAACCCATTCTTTGCCCTTGACTGGATAAACCTAGTAAAATCACCTAGGTTTTTGAGGTCAACTTGCACGCTGTATTGACAGAAGTGGAGTACAAATTGCTGACTTTAACTATCAACTACATTTTTTTCCAGCTAGTAGCTGTGTAGACACCTTTAATACACCAGACTTAAATCCCATACTGTACATCTAAAGCCTACAATGGTCTCGTATATTATATCTGTGCTCTGCAGCAAAACATCTATTCAATTGGATTTCTCCTTGCTATAGATAGAATTCAAGAAAGGTTGAACAAAAATTCTGCACTTTATTTGGTCTGCAAAAAGTATTTTCCACATTGTGCTACAAGTATGCACAAAGATTGGTGTAATGTATTTGGAATCAGATGCTCCTAATGCATAACTTGCAACTTTGTTGATCTGTTACTTAGGCTGTGTCTGAAACGGGCTTCTAGAGCTATGGCTACGGCTATTGTCAGATTGTTCCCATGTAATTGTTATGGGTGAAGACCTAGACAATAGCCATAGACATCTCACTTGCTCATATCAGACTTTAATATACCTTAAAAAAAATACCATTTTAATCTTTTTTCTTCTTTAATTGGAGTTGGTTTTTTAATCTGTTCATTTGTGCATCAGGTCTTGACCCACAAGATGACCATTCCACCAGCACCTCTGATGTACCGGTGACTGGCGCTGCCATAACAGATCCTTATCACTATCTGACGCAACAGCACTTCACCTCAGAGATCTTCAAGATTGAGATCCAAAACCTCCCAAGACATTTTGGATTTGCGGTGAGTTTGCTCACTAAACATTCGACCCTCGATTGTGATAAACATACAGCAACTGAATTAAAGGGCCATGGAATGAATTTCCCTGAAACATGAAAATAATCATATATGAAAGTAATGGTAAACAGCTGCACACTTGCTATCTTTTTTAAGCGCACTTTTTACAATGCCTGTGCACTTGCACAATTGTTTCTAATGTAGCTGTGATGTCGATTTAGATATTTTACTCTTTACATCTTTGGAATTTTCTTTGGAATTTATGAACCTAAAATGTATACATGCAGAGATATCACTTTCAAGTTGTGCATTAAAGTATGTCATTGACTACCTGCTATGTGCTAAATAATGAACAAATCAGTGACATCAACCTCAACCAAAGCACTTTCTCAGCCATAAATTACAGAGGTGCATTTCTTTCCTGAAATAAAAACCACAAAATCTGCTTCAAAAGCACTTAAAAAGTGTTTTACAGTGGAAAATGCCAGGGTCATATGTTAATAGATGTAGTGCCAATACATGTATATATTCACACAGAAAAGAAAGAAGAAACTTGCTTATATAAACATGCATACATGTACACAAAACTCATTCGAGTAACAATTACAATAATTTCTGAACCACTTGCACATACATTGAATGAGTTCCCAGCTGTTCCCTTTACTGACAGTTGGTTGCAATCTGCTCTGGGCCTGCACATTACTGATGTCATGATTTGTACATGTATTGGCAATCTCGAAAGGAATTTTCATTTCCACTGCAGCATATTATACTGTTCATGTTTCTTGACATCAAATCTGCTTGGCATTCCAATGAAGAAGATGCATGAAAAAGAGAAGCCTTCAAACCACCCTACAGTTTGAGCACTGCACAGCAAGTTCAAGGCACACTAACTGTGCATACTGCCCAATTTACGTGAGTGGTTTCCACTCATTACTCACCTGAGAACATTGTTCTTGACAACTTTCAAATGATGGACTCCCTCCTGGTTCTGGATGTGCATACTGCTGCCCTGATGTTGATCTGTCGGTGCCAGTCAGCCCAGGACATTGTTCCCGAGTACTTGCAAGTGACTGCTGGCTCTCTGCTGGTTCTGGATGTACACACTGTTTTCCTTGCATGGATGGCTTGCAGTCAGTCAGACTAGAGCATTGTTCCTGATGAGAACTTGCAAGCGCTGGGGTCCCTGCTGGTTTTGCATGTACCTCAATATGCACTTGAACATGCTGCTGACTGTGCATGGATGCCTTGCTGCTGCTTTGCCTGGAACATTGTTCTTGACAGCTGTCCAGTGACTGCTGACTCTCTGTGTGTTGTGCGTGCCCTTGGCTTGGTGGCTTGCTGCTGCTTGGCCTGGCAGCACAGGGCTCTTGGTCATTTTCTGCCTGAGGAATCACGTGAAGCTCAATCTGCTTCTCTGGCTGCGATGGTCGGCTGGGATTCTGTCTTGGGCAGCAACGACAGCACAGTTTCAGGAATGAGAAAGCCTCGACTACAGCTGCACGATAGTCGGCATTTGTGGCGTTGTAGACTAGGGAATTGATGGAGTTATTGATAAGTCGAAATATTTGTGCACATACAAGCAGAATATGTAGTTTTTCTCCAAGTTCTAAATATTCAACAGCTTGAGCAGGCAAAGAATAATTTAATGCCACTATTGTAATAATCACAGCTGCAATGTGCAGTGAGTTCAGAATGAAGAACACAGCAGTATTGATGATAACCATACGGAGGACCTTGCCTGCTAGCTTGGGACGGTTTGGTACCAGTGCTGATTGCTTGCGTACTTTCACTACTACAAAGATGTACAAAGCAAGAGTTGCTATTAACCAGACAATGGTGATAATGGAAGGAATCCAAAAGATGATGTCATCGAAGACAGTCTTTGGTAAGAATATAAGAATCACAGCAACAATAATTGTGGGCACCCAGAGTCCTGCTGATATCTTTGCTGCCCGAGATTTAGAGGCTTTTTCTTTGTGTTTCAAAGGATTGCACACTGCAGAGAACCTCTCAGCTGCTATGGTAACTACAAACAGACTAGAAACGGCAATAATCATGTATTTGACACATGCGAATGCTTTATGCCCTGCGAAGGTGTACTCTATGGGTGAAAGCAATGCAAATATAAAGTCAGTTATAAGGTACAGCGAGTCAGCCACAGCCAGATTGGATAAGTAGATGTTGATGATTGTACGCATGGACTTCACTCGTATGACTGTGAAGAGAAAGACTAAGTTGATAAGGAGGCCGATTGGTGCAATGATTTCAGCACTTAACCATATTATTTGATCACTTCTGTCTCGACTCTTGTTATAGTCCTGAAGATGCTTTCGTATGTCAGTTGATGGAGTGGAGCTGTCTTGGTAGCCATCACCCATAGTTCATGTACAGTGTAGCCTTGAGCTCCATATCCAACATTTTATTCAGATGCAGCAGAGAGTGTTCTGCCCTATTTCAAGATCACTCCAGTTTTATACACACAGGGAATATAAGACCTCAAGAAATGTGAAGTTGAAACAGAAAGTTTGTTGAAATGTTCTCCCTATTTTTCGGAATTTCTCTTAGACATATTTATACATGTGACATATCTCATGACAGCAGTAGCTGTAACCAAAGCAGACAACTCAGTTTCATTACTGGCATGAATTTGAATTCTGAAAGTTAAATTTGTTTCAGTTTTTATTATTTGCTCCAGATTATACACATGTACATGCACATTGTGTAATCCTCTGTTCATGTTCCTGATTCTGGAAAGTAACATTCACTTAAAACTCCTTTAACTAATTGTAATCACCAACTTCACATGGTACATGTATGCCGACCTATGTAGGTAACAACAAAAAGACAAACTGTCCTCAAAAATGATGAATTTTTCAACAGCTTTTTGCTATTGTGGCTGTCTGCAACCATAGAGCTATATTAAATTACTAGAACGCTAACTCTTCATTCTTGCGCACGGAGACGCTTTGAAGCCGATCTGGGCGCAGACATTTTGAATTTATGTGCGTTTGAAGAACACAATCAAAATAGATAAATTGAATATTAAAAGTGTACTCTACATGCAACATACGCAGTAGAACATACGCAGATAACTTCAGCGAGTGATGACGTTTCAAAAAACGTCACGGCAAAAAGCATCTGCAGCACGGAGGGCAGGGACGCACAAACGTTGCGCTGTTTGCGTGGAACAAAATGAAACACTCATTTGCTGATCGTGTATTTCGGTTTTGGGCATATCGGCTTCAACGACGCACCGGTATGGAATACAACGCAGATATACAAATGGCCGTACAAGAGCCATACAAAATTTCGAGTTTTCTATAGGTTTGTGCACAAACATGGATGCGCCCATAAGGCATTACTTTGTACAATGAGTTAGCGCTCTAGTAATTTAATATAGCTCTATGTCTGCAACCCTCACAAAAAAGTCTTCAATTTTTGCATTTGCAGTTGCACACAATACGATTTGCCCAGTGCGTAGACAGGTTCCTAGTCCCTATATTATCAATTCTGATAGTGGTGGTAAACAGTTTACCACATGAGAACTTAGTAAAAGTCAGGCCATGTTTAATTTGAAATTTATTACATTTATTCCAAAATGAAGCTGGGACTATTTTGGGGGGTTTGTCAAAGTGAATAAATCTTGTATTGCTAGAAAAGAATCCTTTTTTTCTTGTATTGAAACTTGAAAAGAAAAACAGTATTGACTGTATCTTTAAAAGATATATAAAACCGTGAAGGTATTGAACATGCAGGATTAGTTTGAGAAATTATTCCCACATGGTGTTTCCACAAACCTTTCATTCATAAATACATGTAAGTGCACTCCATCTATTATTCAGAAACTTTCACTGTTTGTTGGTTTGTTTGTTTGTTTGTTTTCCAGGAAGTCATAGATGTCGAGAAGCAGAAACTGTGTGGTTACTTCAAGAAAGGGGAGGGCAAGAACTTTCAGCTGACGTCATTGTATCTGAATCTCCAGGGAGAAAGGTGGGTTCATGAAAACATCTCACTCAAAGTGATTTGTTATGTAGGGTCACTGATTGTCCATGTCAAATATGTCTGGTTTTAAGGCCGTGACAGGTACCCTTGGTACCTGTAACCTGACCGCTGATTACGGGTACCCGATTCCATTTTATTGATTTTATTACCCGTAACTGCCTTTGTAAATTACAACAACATTTCAGATCGGCAAGCGCCCTTTTCTATTGATTACTTGCGTATAAATTGACAGCAAAAAAGAGGAGACTTTCTTTTCTATCAATCCTTGCTGTCTTTTTTTCCCAAAATGAATTATGTTCTTCCCTTGGATGTTGATTTATTTACCCATACAACAATTCTGTACTTCCCTTCTGTTTGATATTCAATTTGATCTGATAAGGAATGAAGTCAAATGGAAGTTTTTATTCACAAACCACCATTTGATTTCTGTTGATCTGTGTTTTTTTTCTTTCCTGGGCAAATGTTGGTTTTTATCTGATACGAGTTTGTTTTCACTTTCTGGGGTTGAAATCAGTCTCTGCCTTGCCTGACAATCAAGTTGATGTTGTCATATTCTCAGTTTTGTTGATGAAACATCTTTGCAAGACAATTTGCAAGGGCTAACTACTTGGTCTAACTACGTGTTGGCATGATTTAGTAGAGGTTTGCGGTACCACTATGTAGAAGTCTCTTTGCGGAAGATGTGCGGCTCTGAAAAGAACCGGTTGGTTCTTTTCAGAGCTACACATCTTCCCAAAAAAGACTCTACAACATGCTGTTACTGCAAACCTTCACAAGAACAGTGTCTTCCACACATGTGACAATTTGGAAGGGGAAAGTGTGTTTGTCTATTTTTTTTGTGGCGGGAATGTAACCCCCCCCCTTTTCTTCCCCTGACCCTGACACCCCCCCCCCCCCCCCCCCCCCCGCTACGGATACTATGTAAATATTTCAGTGATAATCAAGATTGTATTGATTTTATTTCAGTCATAGATGTACATGGAAAGTGTTTGAGGACCTACGTGGATCTGTTTGGGCCTACAACGACGCCCATTCACTGAGCGGATTCGGGATTACCCATCAAAAAATCAAAAAGATAGGAGAGACCAAGGCCAGTTTCTTTGGTAAAATTATCCAGTCAGGTAAGACAAACATCTGTGAAGACTCATTTGCATTGGTCGGCATCTCAATTCTATGTGGATGATTTTGAAATTTGAAATTGTGATCAGAAAGTAGGAATCAAATTTAGTACAATTGGTTTTTGATTTCATCCATATAACTATTGATCTTCTTTTTCATATATGTAATTTTTTTGTTGCCCTTCGCTGAAGTATTTTACAAACACTGTACACTCGAGTGTTGTCTGAGGGCTTGCAAGAAAAAAACACAAGCTTACTCGGGTTGGACACAAACCCACAATCTTCTGCTTCCTAGTGCAGACACAATAACCACTCGACCTTGCTGTGGCAAGCTGGCGGTTTGGAGTCTGATGTAGCAGCGCTTAACCCAACTTTGTTTGTGTAGGAGGTCATTAGTTTGAGTCCCACCTAAGCCTTCGGACAACACTAAGTGTACAGTGTGTAAATATGTCGGCGAAGGGCAAACAGAAATCCAATATAAAAAAAGATAATTTACATCTCGTAATTTTTTTTTCCCTGCCCAGGTTCCCATCCAGATGATCCTTGATAAGACAGCAGACGGTACAGGCATCGACTCCAACACCCTAGCCTTACAGATGAAGGGCCATCCTGAGCTGAGGGACAAGCTTCATGTCGTCACCTCATGGGGGCCTTTGCCTGTCTACCCTAGAGTGGTCAACTCAGAATTACCTGGTAGGTACAGTGGACTCTGTGACCAAGTACCAGTGTTGTAGTCAGGTCACCAACGTCGAGTCCGAGTCCGAGTCTCCAATCATAGTTCACTAGCGGGATGCCGCGCTTCGCGCGGCACCCGCTAGATGGTTGGAGTTGACTGGTTGGTATTGTTTGTAAAGTAAAATTTGGAGAAGTTACACTCTGATAATGAAACACAACTGCGAAGTGAGATAAAAAAAAAATTAGACTCTGCGTTGTACACAATCCTGTTTGGAGTCATTTTATCTGAGGCGATCAGACTTGATGAAATATTGTGGTAATTGGAATCATAAATGAGAGGAATAATTGTCGTTGCGAGTTTTGGCAAGTTATACATCTCCATTGTTGGAAAATATGTGATAGTATGCAGCGGTGGTAGTTGTTGTGGTGTTTTCAACCTCATTTTTTTTAAATGTCCATCAACATTTTTGTTACTTTTCTAGAGGTGGGTATACCTTGTGTATTTGTATTATAATCATTGATGTGGTGATTTGATAATGACCAAACTCCCAAGTTGATGGCCTATTTGTGTTCTTAAGAGTTTTGTTGAGCACACAGGACAGTATTTCAGTAGAGAGAAATGGATTTTTTAGGAAAGAGTGGAATAACAGATTTTGTATATGTGGACACAGAAGTCAGGGCCAGGGGTTGTTCACATTGTATAGAAACAGAAGGGATAACATTGGGAAAAAGTAGAGGACTATGGCGTTTTTTATTACAGAAAATACAAAAGTAATAAATTATAATGTAGAGTGATGAGTAAGTAGGTTTTTTTTTAGTGGCAGAGTGTGAAATTGAAGGGGGTGGCACTGTAGTTGTAATAGGAAAATTGTTAATTAAAATCGAGTTTTGAGAAAGAAATAGGACTGGGTGGGTGTGTTTTGTAATAAGGGTTGCTAATAATGATATAACTGGAAGCGATATTGCAACTGATTGATTTAATAAAAAAGTAATAGAACTTTAAAAAACTATGTGGCTAACTACGTTTATAAGGGGTTTCTAGATGATGTTTGGGGAAGTATCTTTTGTAGAAGGGGTTTATTTTTCAGTTTCTGGTGGAGTTTCTGTGTCGGTGAGTGGGATATTGGTGAGTGGGCCATCAGCAATTTCGTCGTTGAAGGCGTCATCTGGAAGTGCTGGAGAAAGAATGAAAAGAAATAGAGGAAGGTTAGAAATGTTGGATATCAAGGCAGGAGTTTAAAATGCTTATTGTTTTGTGTCCTTGAGATGAGTTGCAGTCATAAATATATAAATACTGATTTGGGGATTGTAAAATGGTGGAAGAGTGGATTTTAGGAAAGTTGTGGGTATTCGGTAGGGTAAATGGTAGTATGTGTATGGGAGGGTGGGAAATGTGTTTTATTAGTTGAAAATGAATGTTTGGTGAAGTAATTGAAGAATATGTATGGAGTTGAGTGTAAGGTGAGTAATGAAGATGGGAATAGGGGTATTTAGATCTAGAAAAATGTAGATGAAAGGAAATTTGAAGAAGAATTTTTGACCTTACCTTCGATGTCGGACCATCCTGCCTGGGAAAGGATGTCATCACTTGGGTTGTCTGGGGGATGAGAATGAAACGGATTGTAAGGAATTAATTGGGTATGTGGTGGATCTATATTGTGGCAATAAGTTACAGTAGGAAAGTTGTGTATTGTGGATTGATGTTAGAGAAGTGTGAGAATTTGTTTTTTGTGTTGTGTGTGAAATAGTATGTAAGTTAAGTGATGACTTTAGAAAACCATTGTATTGCGTTTAATGATAACAGTTATGTGTAGGGAGAACAGATGAAGTTTGGAGTGAAAAATGCGTGTGTTACCTGTTTGTTTGTTGTGGGACCTTGAAGGGAGGTACACCTTTGTTGGTCGAGAAGGAGGAATGGACTCGGGTCTTCTTTTGGGAGTAGTTGGAGAGGTTGCAGGAAACAGTCTTTTTTTGGCTGGAAAGGTTTGAAATAAATGTATTGCAAAAATTAAAAGCATTCAAAGTAAACATATATGTTGAAAGGATTTGGAAGGAAGAATTTGTAAAGAGTATGAAATGAAAAACTGATTGTAAATGAGGTCAGGGAGGGGAGTTGTCCTGAAAATGTAAGTTGATGTTGTAAGAAGTTTAGCATTGTATGAATGTTTAGTGAGGTGTTTGAATGGTAATACGTAGTGAAATGTGAATGGTTTATAGTTGTGAGGGCTGTATTGTGAAAGGAGTTTGTGATGGAATTGAACTTGAGGAGGTTTAGAGGAGATGATTGTTTTAACATTGACTTGCATAGAATAGTTGTGTAGATAATGTGTAGGTAGTATTTAATGCGTGAATGGTGTGGAGTTTGTGTTTTGTTCGAATGCTTAATAAGGGGAAATTGAATGAGGATGTGTGTGAGAGAATTGTGAGGTAAAGAAATGAAATTGGAAGGTGGAGAGGTTTACCTGGTGATTGGCGGAGTGAAGCTGAAAGTTTGTTGAGTGCAGATGGAACTTCTTCGCCCAGTGCGGTGATATGTTGGCGTGCTTGCAGTCGAAGCAGGGGTTTTGGACTATCCATGTGGCGTAGTGCGAAGTCCACAGATGTCTGTATTTGTGTGCTAACTTTGGCAATCTGATTAGATTGACATTGGAGAATGTTCTAAGAAAGTTTGTATGTAAGTAGGTGAGTTGGAATTGTTAAGGATTGTGCTGTAAATGGTGAAATTGTGAGGGGAAGTACAGTCTGGGAAGGCAATTTTCAGACAAATGGATTGAGAAATCAGATGTAAACGTTTTGAGAGTATTAAGATAGATTGAACTGGTGTGTGGTAGTTTTGGTAATGGTTGTTATTGTTGTGAACTTTGGAATAGTTTATGGTTATGGATAAAGGATACATGTAGATGAAGTGGGTGTGAGTTTGTGTTTGCATTCAATAGGGGCTGTTGAACAATAGAGGACAATATAGTTTGTAAGAGTGTGAGAGGTACCGTATTGGGTTTCAACAACAATTTTGTTTAGAAATATTTCAAAATTGAAAATACAAAGAAAAGAAGGACAATAAGGGTTGTTGATTGCAGGGCAATACATATGTGTGTGATTTGTGTTGGATTGGAAATGGGAATGATATGGAAATGAGGAGTTGCATTGAATGAGGTAATAGCATGAATTTTGGCATAGTTTTGTAGTGTTTGAATTTATGACTTACTGTGGCAGAGAGGTGGAGTTGATGTTGTTGATCTTTAGAAGAGGGGAAGTCTGGTGAGGCCATAACTGTTCAGATGTGAGGAAGAATTGGGTAAGACATTTGGATATAGGAAGCTGATGAAAAGTAAAAACAGATACAACATAATATTTACAATATGTACAAATGACAGTGAATGTTGGTTAACGGTAGGAGAAAGGCTGAAGTTATTGAGAATTGTGTGAGTTTAGTGTTCACACAAAGATTTCAGGATAAACGATATTTGTTGTTAAAACAGAACCATGTTCATGTTCTTTAGTCATGACTTGGATTGCGTTGGAAGAGCCAACTCTGGAGAGGGCCACATATAGTTGTCCATGTGTGAACACAGGCTTATGAAGTAGGACTCCAGCTTGCGAGAGAGTTTGTCCTTGGCTTTTGTTGATGGTTATTGCAAAGGATGGCCTAATGGGAAATTGTCTCCTGTAGAACTTGAAGGGGAACAGATTGTCTGCTGGCATCATGGGTATCCTAGGAATGAGTATTGTTTTTCCTGCATGGGTTCCACATGTGGCAACAGCATGAATTATGTTGGGAGTGAGATGTGTGATAACATATCGAGATCCATTGCAGTGTCCTTGTGATGGGTTGAGGTTGCGTAGCAGCATAATGGGTGTATGCTTTTGCAGTTGTAGTTTATGTGGAGGTAGTCCAGTAGGTGTTAAGGTGTTAAGAAACTCTGTAGGATACAAAGTTGGATTTTGATCAAGAGGAACAGTGTCAGCACTGTTGAATGTGTGTGAATCTTCAGGAATAGATTTGGAGATGATTTCATTCAGATCATCAACGTCTTTGTTGGTTGTGGCAAGGATTGTTCGTGAACTTATCCAGTTGTTGTTTGTGTAATTATCACTGATGTCAGGGAAGACATGGTCTATGAGATCTTGCACTTTTTGAGTAGATGAAGCAATGTGAGAGGGAATAGCAATTGTGTTGTCGTGAACGGTTGGAAATGAACCATTGCCTATCTGTAGAAGGAATTTGGAGAAGTCATTGCTGTCTGCGCATTGTGTTAAGTGCACTCGCATATTTGTGGTCAAGGATAGGACTTGGACATGTTGCCATAATGGAGATCGTTTTAGGGTGGCGTTGACAATGATGCCTCTAGTTCCATGTCGTACAACTGGAAGAATTTGGCGAAAGTCTCCAGCTAAGACTATGACTTTACCGCCAAAGGGGAGATCACTTTGGAGGATGTCTTGCATTGTGCGATTTAGGGCTTCAAAAGAATGGCGATGTGTCATGGGTGCTTCATCCCATATGATGATTTCAGCAAGACGGATCAAATCAGCTGTGGAGTCACGGGGGGAAATATTGCAAGTGCTGTTTGGTAGTATTTCCAAGGGAATCTTGAAGCGTGAATGTGCAGTTCTGCCACCTACTAATAGGGTAGCTGCAATTCCCGAGGAAGCTACAGCCAGAGCTATATGGCCTTTGGATCGTACATAAGCAAGAAGTGAATTAAGTAGGAAGGTTTTTCCTGTTCCACCAGGAGCATCAATGAAGTATATACCATTGCTTTTGTTGTCAATTGTTGATGAGATTGTTGTGTAGGCTGCTTTTTGGTCTGGTGTCATCTGTGTGGTGCGTGTTTGCACAATACTGTCTTGTTGGAGAGTATCATAATGTAGTTCCTCTCGAACAGCATGAGATAGTGCCTTTACTGCAGACGCTTTGTTTGGTTGAGGTAAACCATAGTCAGTGACAGTTTTGTTGAAGACATTCAGTCTGTTATCAATATCTAACAGTGCTTCATTGTAGATGATGTCGAGAGTCTCTTCTGAAGTGACGTGGTGGCCACCCTTTCTCAGTGTGTACTTGAAATCTTCTGCCAAGTTGTCTTTGTGTTTATTCCAAAGACTTTGGGGATTAGATGGTTGGCAAAAAACCAAAATGGTGACAAAAAGGTCTCGCATTGAAGACGACGAAGATACTTCGGAGGCATCTGTAAGGGATTTATCCCATTCATTGTCATCATCTAGAAGACCAAGGTGTTCACATGCTTCCTTGTAAGTTTCACAGACGTTGCCATGAATGGTTCTGATACCTGGGAAAGATGTTGGGCCTTGTACATGGTGTAAAAGAAGGCGAAGGTAGAAGAGTTCTCCTTGAGAAGGATGAACAGCATACATACGGCCCACGGTATCAGAAGAAGTGCCATGGGGAGAAGGTTGTATACTGGTGTTCTGTTTTCGTTGGATCCATTTTTTAGCAGATTGGTTCCAAGTATAGAACATGGGAATATCTTGGTAGTAGAGGGTGCGAGCTTGAGTGTCAGAAGCATTTAGTGCAAACCATTGGGTCAGGGTTGTTTTGGGTGGGTCATTTAAAAGTGACTGTTGGGGTTTGTTAGGACTAAAGCACACATGCTGGTGATTTGGCAGATGTACAGCTAGTCTCACAACATTTGGATACCTGCCATTTAATGGCATTTCTGTAAGCCTCCAGTATGCATCAGATGCACTGATGTATCGAGCATCAATATAACGTGAAACTTCATCAATGCCAGTGCTTGTAGTTGGTGAAGAGGCAGTGTTGTTTACACTGACAACAACTCTATCGGCACCCTTGTAGATGTACTTGTAGAGATATTTCACAGCTTTGATGGAGCTACAGATTTCTACATTCATATGTCCTTGGTATTTGAGAAGTAAGTAGGGATTGTAGGGAACGACCCAAGAATTATCAATTTGTACTTCTTGACGCCTGTTGAGGTTGAGCATGGCAGTACGTCCTCCTTCTTGCATGTTTCGACGGCGATATATTGGATATGAGTCATTTCCCATTAGGGTGTTTGGCGATAGATGTTTGGGATAGCATTTAGAGCAAGAGTTGTCTTTCATGCAGGGACTTTTGGTGTTGAAATGACCGCATGGGCCATGGATCATAGAGGATGTGACAATTTTATACAGACTTGGATTGGTGGTAGGATCTGGTAGTTCTGCACATGTGATCTGATCAAAGTGGTCAGGTGTCATGGGTTTGTAGTCAGGATGGAGGATGAGAAGAAGGTGTGCATGTGGCAGACCGCGTTTCTGGAATTCTATGGTGTAGCAGTAGGCAAGAACTTTTCCAAGGATATGGTCTTTCAGTATGTCATGTAGTAACGCCTTCCATTTCAAGTTGAAAACGCGAGTGGTTAGATCAGGCCTGTCATGAGTACGTTGAGAGGGTAGTAGTTCAGTAGTGATTTCAGGCCAAGATGGGTTGCAAGTGAAAGTCAAGAAGATATCAGGTTTCCCATATTTTCTGACAATGGCGATGGAATCTAGGTATTTTTGATGCATGTATCTTGGACTGCCGGGGAAAGAGGATGGAAGAATGATTGACTTGCCTGCACGTTGGACATCATCAGCAGCAATGGCATCACATAAACCTTTATATGTGTCTGCTCTGAGTTGTTGTTGGTTATTTCGAATCCATCTGAGACGATTTTGTTCGACCTTTGCATACATGTCCACTAAAAACTGTAGGAACAGTTTGCCAGATCTGTGGAGAGAGTTTGAGTGGTGGTTTCGTACCATGATATGGAACTTGTAGAATGCTAACATTGACAATGTCTTGGCGCTGTGTTTGTTTTTTGTGGCATCCCATTCTTTTAAACCGATGTGCCATCCATCTTCACCATGCGGAAAGAGAAGTACATAATGTAAAGGGTCATAGCTTCTGTGAGTCTCATGGATGCGTTGCAATTGTCCATCACGATGTGTCAAGACTATGTCTCTCTTTCCAGCAGGTTCTTCATTGGATCCGGGTAGGAGAATAGCAATCTGCTCAGATGTAGGTTGGTGATATTGACCAGGGTGAGTAGATTTGGGTTGATGGTCAGCATGAAGTATTAGTGAGTTGTCCGCCAAAGGTCCTAGTTCAGCAGCCATTTTAAATGACCTGACATAGGAGTTGCATAAATGGAGCATTTCTTGCAGTTGTTGTAATTGCTCTTTGCAGACAGACTGAGCATGTCCTTGATGGCGATTGTCCAGTTCGTGTTCAGTGTCATATATGAATAGCTGAGAAAATTTTGGGGCTGTGTTGTGTGCAGGCAAAAGAGATCCAATCAAGTGGTGGACTTGGCCTTGTATTTTGAAGGTAGGCATCCACTGTCCTGGAATGGTTTGTTCTTTGCAACCTAACGATGTCATGGTTAAGGCATTATTGTATGTGCGTATTTGTTTGCGAAAAGCAAGGAGTGATGGTTCTGAAGAAGTTAAGAACGTTTGGAGTGGTTCAGGAGGTGTTGGTGTTGGAGTCAATTTCACTTTACCGTTTCTGCAACAGAGATTGAACTTGTTGGTGGATGAACGCTCCTTGGAATACAGAAGTGCATGACAATGTGGGCATTCGTGAGACATTTGGCCAGAATTATGTGGCCATGCCAATACAGATGGTTGATTTGGATTGCAAGAAATAGTCTGCTCTTGAAAAGAATCAATATCAGACAAAGCAAAGCCAATAGACGAATGTGTAGGTAGTCTTGATACTTGCGTAGTTGGTGAAATGGTACTTAAACTACTGTAAGTGTGATCTACAGCAATCACACTGGGAATGTTGCTTTGGTCCTGTACTGACTCAAATGAAATAGCACATGAATGACTATAAGTGTGATCTAAAGCGATCACAGTGGGAGAGATATGTTTGCTAGACACAGAGGGAATAGCGCATGAAATGTTGTAGGTGTGATCAAGAGCCATCGCCATCTGGTTGACTTCAAAGGAGGAATGAAGAAGTCTTTGTTTTTTCCTTGATGGACTGGAATCCAACTCAGCCATTGTGTGTGGAAAAAGTAATCGGATCAAGAAGGGCAACTGACTGCAGGCAAGTGAAGAAACAAAAGATGTAGGAAAGTCGGTAAACGTTGAAAGGTCGTGTGCATTCCAATTCAGTGTGACACAGGAATGACAGAATTTGGTGTACTTTGAATGTACAAAATGCACTGTCATTTGCACAGGGCCATATGGTACTATAGAGTCAAAATGTGTGCAAATACATGCCAGAAGTAAGAGATGTACAATATGATGTAAAAGCATGTTAATGATGTGTGCATATTAACAACTGTTGTAGATGTAAAAATAGAAATGCTTCTTGGTGGTTCTGTAAAAGGAACATAAAAAGAAGAAAAGGTTGGCAGTAATTATCAACAATTATTTGTGTCAATTGATAAATGTGCGCAAGAAAATCCAAACAACATAACAACAAAGGACGTCAAATTAACACAACAAAGCAACACAAAATTGAGAACATTTAAAGATGTCACTGTGAACAATATGACAATGTCATGCAGTAATTTCCCCTTGACATGTGAATTGTGGAATTTCTCAACATTGTAATGTGTGTTGAAAGATTAACAGTTGTTGGTGGTAAAAGAAGGTAATACATAAAGGAGGAATATCAAAAAAGTTTGAACATGATAGTGAGGTGGGACATGAATACAGACTCCTTGAGGAATGAGTATACGTACCTGTCAATGGTAGTAGCAAAGCAAGGTTTGGTGATGAACTGAGAACAGAGACAATTGACGATCTAATATATAGAGAGTAAACAAAAATAGATATGGACTAAAATGTTACAATTAATTCTGCACAGAGAGAATAGACAACACTGTTTTAAGGTTGTCTTAAAATTAACAAAAAATGGAAATGTATTGAATATGAAACACAAAGAAGAAAATTTAAAAAAAATGAAATGTATCGAATATGTCACAAAAAGAAGAAAATGAAATCATTTATAGACACTTGATTGTAAAAGATGTCCATGGTATTCTCAACCGAGGTGCAAAAGATAGTATCTGCATTAATTATCAGTAGTCACACACCTTTTAATGGAAAAACTGAGATTTCATGAGTATACATACCTGTCACTGGTAGTAGCAAAGCAAGGTTTGGTGATGAACTTAGCACAGAGACAATTAATGATCTAATATATAGAGAGTAAAGAAAAAGAGATATGATCTAAAATGTAACAATTAATTCTGCAAAGAGAGAATAGACAACACTGTTTTAAGGTTGCCTTAAAATTAACCAAAAAATGAAATGTATTGAATATGCAGACTTTTTAATTGAAGAACCGAGATTTCATGAGTATACGTACCTGTCACTGGTAGAAGCAAAGCTAGGTTTGGTGATGAACTGAGCACAGAGACAATTGATGATCTAATATATAAAGAGTAAACAAAAAGAGATATGGACTACAATGTTACAATTAATTCTGCAAACAGAGAATAGACAACACTGTTTTAAGGTTGCCTTAAAATTAACCAAAAAATGAAATGTATTGAATATGCAGACCTTTTAATTGAAGAACCGAGATTTCATGAGTATACATACCTGTCACTGGTAGTAGCAAAGCAAGGTTTGGTGATGAACTTAGCACAGAAACAATCGATAATCTAATAAATAGAGAGTAAACAAAAAGAGATATGGACTACAATGTTACAATTAATTCTGCAAACAGAGAATAGACAACACTGTTTTAAGGTTGCCTTAAAATTAACCAAAAAATGAAATGTATTGAATATGCAGACCTTTTAATTGAAGAATCGAGATTTCATGAGTATACGTACGTGTCACTGGTAGAAGCAAAGCTACGTTTGGTGATGAACTGAGCACAGAGACAATTGATGATCTAATATATAGAGAGTACACAAAAAGAGATATGGACTAAAATGTTACAATTAATTCTGCACAGAGAGAATAGACAACACTGTTTTAAGGTTGTCTTAAAATTAACCAAAAAATGAAATGTATTGAATATGCAGACCTTTTAATTGAAGAACCGAGATTTCATGAGTATACGTACCTGTCACTGGTAGAAGCAAAGCTAGGTTTGGTGATGAACTGAGCACAGAGACAATTGATGATCTAATATATAAAGAGTACACAAAAAGAGATATGGACTAAAATGTTACAATTAATTCTGCAAAGAGAGAATAGACAACACTGTTTTAAGGTTGCCTTAAAATTACCACAAAAATGAAATGTATTGAATATGAAACCAAACGAATAAAATTGGAAAAAGAAAGAATGTATTGAATATGACACAAAAAGAATAAAATGATATCATTTATACTTATTGACACTTGATTGTAAAAGATGTCCATGGTATTCTCAACTGAGGTGCAAAAGACAGTGATGTGAATATCTGCTGAACCTAGAATGACATTGTTGTGTATTGTGTGTCTGTTATCATGGGTTCGTGAAAGATGCATTAGACTAAGCTTGGTCCAGTCATGTTCCAGTCCAGTCATGGTCCACGTGGTCCAGTAAATAATGACCACCACACTACGCAATCATTGGAGTCACAAACTGACACTTTTCACAAACAACAATGCTTAGTTTTCAGTTAGTTTTCAGTGCCAGTGGCGTTAAAAAGAATACCACTTTTCACATTTCGAAAGAATACATATCATAAATGAGACTTACCGTTCAAAGAGAAAACTGGAGCAAATCAACAAAGCTGTGCTGAAGAGATGAGGGGCAAGAGATGTGGGGCAAGTTCATGGGCTGCATGCTCATAACGAATGTCTACGTGGCACGTCAATTATCCGGCCCGTACGCTGCATGCTCATAACGAACGTGGGCTGCATGCTCAATACGTGGCACGTCAATTATCCAACCCATGCTCATAACGAACGAACGAACGTATACGGGTACGACGTTGCACGTCCGACGTGGCACGTTCATTATCCGGCCCGTACGCAAGATGGCGGCTGGCTCAATGGGGAAAGGAATTCTGGGAAATATGGGGCGGAAATAGCCGGGCCCCGTTCCGCATCCCCCGCAGCCAACAGGCGCGATGGGGACGGGAGACCGGTCGGGAAAATGGCAGCGCCCCCGAATCATTTTCGCGATTGTAGTATAGATACCATATACTGTTTAAGAGAAAACCCACGGAGAAGTATTGCCCAGAAAAAAAAAAAAGATTAATCGCAACAAATCCAAAGAGTGGTCGGGTTGTGCCCGACCACTCAAAAATCTGATTTAAATCAAATAAATCTGATTTTTTTTTTATTTATTTTTTTTAAATCACAAAAATCACCAACCAGTTGGTTTACATTTGTTAATGTTACTGATTATGGAAAGTAGAATTCACATTGTTCATGTTTGCGGATCTTTGTATGGTAGATAACAACAAAAAGACAATTTTCATTTTTAAAAGTCGGTGCTACCTGTCCTCAACAATGTTTTCTCTTCCTGATGAATTTTTCAACTGCTATGTCTTTTTTAAGGGAAAAAGTACTTGTACTTGTTTTGCCAGTTTAGTCATCTGTATGCAACCCTCTGAAAAAAAGTTCTTTTTGGTTGTATTTGCACACTATGAGACCCGCCTGCTGAGTAGACTGGTTCCTGGTCATTGTATATTCTGATAGGGGTGGGAAACAGTCAACCACATGAGAACTGAATAAAAGTCAGGCTGCATTTGTTCCTTCATTTTCATTGTTGTGTCCCCACTCACAGCCAGTATTATACGCAACAAGTGTGAGTTTACCATGGGCAAGAGTGTAGATGGCATCGATAAGTTAAACTGACATTCATTTTTATTCATATCCAACTTTTCATGTTTGTTCTGCATCCTTTGGATTGGATGATTTCTGGGAACTCTGAAGTGTCGTTGGTGGGATGTGAACCCCAACCCCCTGCTTTATATAGAAACTCTCTCATGCAGGGGTAGATTGAGACCAACTGTCCCTGGACTTACTGGCAAACTTGGTCTCTTGGCATAAACACTAGAGGGTGGGGGATCTATCCCCACCCCTCCCATGTTTTGACCAGAGGTGGGGAGATGAGCAATGGCATCATCATGTGTTAGGGGAAAATGCTGCTTGTTGAATCCTTTCAACATGACTTTACAAAGAAGTTGAAGTTGTTCTGAGGGAAGCAAAGAGTAACCCGAGGCACTCTTAAATGAAAGTAAAGTTTAACATCAAAGCGTTTATTTTCTTGTTTTCGATAGAGCATACCTATCCACCAGTATTGGTGTTCAAGGCACTGCATCATTAAGTTAAAAGTGCACCTTGCCTGGAATGGACATAACATTTTATACGATGTGCCTGTTATGAACACCGCAACCGAAAGTTTCAGGAATTTTTTTTCTCAGTTATTCCCGTAAATTCTTGTCAGGTCTTCATGAAACTTGGCCCTGGATAAATTGTTTCAGTTTCATGTCTTCTTATTTTCATTGACAGATACCACTGTTGGTTTCCGGCTTGGCGCTTACAAAGGTAAGTATTTCCTCTGAAGTTTCCTTTTTGCAAAAGACGTAGATCAGCTTTCATGTTTGATTGGATCAGCTGTCAAGGGGCATGGCCTATTAGTAGCTAATGCTGATCAATTCCAACCAATCAGGATGCAACACACAGAAAGATTGACAGGTGTACATTTTGTGCATTGTCTAATATGTCTGTCGGGAATTAATTTTTGAAAAGAAAGAAACAAGCCACAAAAGACTTAAACCCTTGTCATCCCCTTTGCTAACCAATATGTTGGCTTACTTTTGTGGCATGAATATTGAGGGTATATGTTTGTACTTTCAACATTGACTAGCAAGCTTTTTTACTCAATAGGGATTTTTCAACAATTACATTTGTACAAGCAAGAATTAGGTTTTAAATACAAAATTCAGGAAAATCACTGTTTGTTTAAATGTTGCTAGTGTACAATTTTATTTATTTTATCACTGATCTTGCTTTTACATGCAAATGTGTTTGTCCTGTAAAAAGTATGTGACTTTTAGAAACATGGTTTGCCCTGCATTTTTTTTTTCTTCAAATGTTACTAGGTATCAGAAAGACGTAAGAGCTCAAACACCAATTTGGTGATAGTACTTTTCTGTATTATTTGTGTTTAGAGTTTTAAATTACACAAGGAAATAGCAGCTTTAATGAACACATAAAAAGCAGCAATTCCTCGGATACTGTGCAAATTAAGATATATCTTGTATGATGCTAACTTAACAACGACATTCATATTTTACAGCATTGATTTTTCAATTACCCGAATTCGAGGTACCCTTGAGTCCATCTAAAAGAAATATTAGAATATTGCTTGGCATTTAAACATCATACAGACATGGAGCTCATAATGTAATACAACAGACTAGTGGTGTTACACAGATTATGTACAATTATAGAGCATGCAAGTCTCGCCAGTTCACATTCACTTTTCATGTGAACATCTTGGTACCAAACACTGACTAGTCTAGCCACAGACTCCCGTCTTTGAATTCACCCAATTCACCCAATGAACGGAAGTGGAGGTCAACATTTTTTCAATTTACTATAGTAATCAGCTTGCAATATTTTTTGAATGTGTTGTAAATTGGAATGATATTTTTCTTGTTCAGAACCCATTCTTTGCCCTTGACTGGATAAACCTAGTAAAATCACCTAGGTTTTTGAGGTCAACTTGCACGCTCTATTGACAGAAGTGGAGTACAAAATGCTGACTCTAACTATCAACTACATTTTGTCCAGCTCATAGCTGTGAAGACACCTTTAATACACCAGACTTAAATCCCATACTGTACATCTAAAGCCTACAATGGTCTCGTATATTATATGTCGGTGCTCTGTAGCAAAAAGTCTATACAATGCATTTCTCCTTGCTAAAGGATTTTTCAAGAAACTTCAAACAAAAAACAGCACTTTATTTGGTCTTCAAATATAATTATCCACATTGTGCAACATGTATGCACAAAGATTGGTATACATTTGGAATCAGATGCTCCTAATGCATAAGGCCCAAAAAAAAAGTCTCCGGTTTCTGGTATGGAGCTTGCCCAAAAAGTGGTGTTTTTTTTTTTTTTTAACCTGATTTTTTTGCCGACGCGCATGGCTACGGCGTCGCGCGCGCATACCAGAAACCGGAGACTTTTTTTGGGGGGCCTAACTTGCAACTTTGTCAATCTGTTACTTAGGCTGTGTCTGAAACAGGCTTCTAGAGCTATGGCTACGGCTATTGTCAGATTGTTCCCATGTAATTGTTTTGGGTGGAGACCTAGAAAATATAGCTCTAGCCATATCAATTTGTTAATCTGTTCATTTGTGCATCAGGTCTTGACCTATGTACAAGATAAACATTCCACCAGCACCTCTGACGTACCGGTGACTGGCGCTGCCATAACGGATCCTTATCACTATCTGACACAACAGCACTTCACCTCAGAGATCTTCAAGAGTGAGATCCAAAACCTCCCAAGACACTTTGGATTTGCGGTGAGTTTGCTCCCTAAATATTGAACCCTCAATAACAATAACCGTACAGTTTGTGCCTTTTTAGGAGTATGTATGTATTGTGCTCCATGCTTGGGATTTGTCAAGGTTTGTTAATAACAGAATCAAAAGGCTGTAAAATGAATTTCGCTAAAACATGAAATATCCTAGCCCTGTGTTTGTATGAAAGTAATGACCACATTTTACGCACACTTTTTTGCAATGCCCGTGCACATGTTCACAATTGTTTCTAATGTTGCTGTGATGTTGATTTAGGTATTTTACACTTTACAGCTTTGGGATTTTCTGGATAATTTAGGGGTTTTCCATATGTTAGTACCAATACATGTATATTTTCACACTGAAAAAAGTAACAGTCTTGCTCATTTAAAGGAAGGGTAGATCATTTGTCATTTGTGCATTTTTTTTCTTCATTTGAAGCAACAAAAGTGCTCAAAATCTAAAAACGGGTGCTTAACAACTAAACACAATGAAGTTTAAGCTCTGTGAATGCAGTATATTCCAAAACTATACTCTAGGATCTCAGGTTCAATTCAAAAGTTGCTGAGTCATGTTTTATATTGCGTCCAAATTCAGCCCCAGGGACACATTCTCATTCAGTCAATTGCAGCTACGCGATGTCATGCACTGAACTGATGTATAATAGAAACCTAGTGTGCGTGTGCGTCGTGTCAACGCTTGTGCGCACATATTCATGGATTCACCAAATTTACAAACCAACTACGTGAACTAACTTGATGCATCGTTGGAAATAGCTTTCTTTCATTGTTTCCTTCAAAATGACAGCATGCCAGAAAGAATGATATCACAAGGAGTTTAGTGCCATTAAAACCAAAAGTTTTTTAACAATAATTTTGTCAGTTACTTTTTGGATAGCTGCAAATGATCTACTCTACCTTTAAACACGAACAAAAATTTGATTCAGATAACAATTAAACTATTTGGGATTTATTAATTTCTGAACAATTTACATACATACATTGCATGAATACCAGCTGTTCCCTTTACTGATAGTTGGTTGCAATCTGCTCTGGGCAGGCCTGCACATTTCTGATGTCATGGTGCGTACATGTATTGGCAATTCGCTGAAGTAAATAACATTTCAACTCCAGCATAATGTGTTGTTAATGTTTCTCAATGTCAAATCTACTTGGCATTCCAATGAAGAAGATATATGAAACAGCCTTAAATCTGCTCTACAGTTTAAACACGACTGCAAGTTCAAAAGCACATTGACTCTGCACATTGCTGCCCTTACATGGATAGCTTGCACTCATCAGTTACCAGAGAACATTGTTCTTGACAAAATTTCCAACGATTGACTCCCTTCTGGTTCTGGATGTGCATAGTGCTGTCCTTGTGCTGATGGCTCGGTGCCAGTCAGCCCAGGACATTGTTCCTGAGTACTTGCAAGTGACTCCTCAGCAAAAACCGCGCGCTAAAAAGAGCCTTCACTCTTCCATTTTGACAGTTCGCTACACGTGGTCTGAGCCTCTCACCGTGTGATGCGTGTTGCCATGCCGTGTTTGACATCGCAGCCCCGGCCGGTCATGTAGCGTGGCACGCGGTAAACATGACGACAGTCACTTGTCCAACGCGGCGATTCCCCCATTTTTTTAAGTATCGTATCGGCCTTACACCATTTGTGCTAAAATTTTGGGGGCTATTTTCTGTACCTTTCGTGGTGCAGAAAGACATAGAAATGTTCTAAAAAGTTGATTGAAAACAAACATGTCATTGAACAGATTTCACTGCACTCATCAACTTGCCCGCACAATATGTCAGTCACGTGAAAATACACGTGATATTAACGTTGCAATATTGACCAATCAACGCCAAGGTTTTCCTGGTAGTTGAATATATTAGTGTATTATGATAATTACGCTCCGGTTAGCGGTTGTTGCATTGGCATATGTGCATAATGTACATCGTACAGTGGCACCGCGCCGTATGTTGGGCCGTAGCCGGGAGATCGGGAAGGGCTGCGCGCCGGGGTACGGTGTATGAGATGACCCGCGTGTGTACGTACATACGAACACAACAACGATAACCATAAAAAGACATTTGTTGAATGGTGTTTGTATGCACAGATCCTCTACACAATATCCGTGATGTATGATTGTCATGACGGGACATGCAGAGGTAAAATACAAACATGACAAAAGGGCACGCTGGCCAAGTTGGCCGCGACATGTGTATTTTTTGAAGGGGCATTGCGGCCAAGTTGGAAGGGCATGCGGCCATTGGCCGCGGTGGCCGCGGTAAAGATTGAGGCCTGATAGCGATGACTTTTTGGTTATGCACCCAGCAACTTCTTGTACATTGTATTTCTTGCCCTGTTTCTTCGTCGGTTCATTCTGTTACTTCCAGACTTGCAGATTGAGCTAGATAGCCCTATGAACATGAACAATACAAGCACTATCAAACTAATCCTAGCGCAAGTGCGTTTATGAGGGGAGATTCCAGAAATACATAACTTACGCAACAACAGCTTGATTCCATGTGACTTAGTGCGCGTTACATAATCGCCAACATGACATGACAATCTGTCTGTAGGCATCGCAATTTGGGCTTCTCAATGCACGCTACCTAGCAAGGGCTTCCATAAACCACCTTGAACATCTATCCTGTATAACCACACACCTGAGACTACTTGTTTTTTTCATTTCCCGGACGAGCCCCCATTTGTCACATTCCCTGGTTTGCTCCTCCCCAAGAAATATAACCCTCAGTAGTCTGGTACACCGTCACACAAAATAAATTGTCAATTCACTCGAATGAATTGACAATTTTGTGTGTGTGACGGTGTACCAGACTACTGAGGGTCATATTTCTTGGGGAGGGGCAAACCAGGGAATGTGTCACTGATAGTTGGTTGCAATCTGTTCTGGGCCTGCACATTACTGATGACACAGGAAGTATTGACAATTCCCTACTTTAAAGTAAAATACGTTTTTATTCTTGATAATATGCTGTGAACGTTTCTCGTTACCAATAAGGTGTTTCACGGTAATATGCGCTAATCACAAGATGGAATTTTTGCAGATGAAAATCAAATTAGGTTTCGCCCTTCTCAGACGCATATACACTGTTTACTCAGTGTGTTAAGGGCCTGTCACATTATATGCGATCTCATAGGAGACCTAACGGCAACCAAAAATATTTCATAAATTTAACAATCGCAGCGAGGACGCAAGAAAATGACAACTTTTTGTATCAAAGAAGCTCAAGCTACGCTCATACTGTGCTCTTCCCACACTTACGATGCGCTCAACTCGCTCTCTATGCGCCCCTGTGCGCCCCGAGCTCAATTACTCGATCTAGTCGCTGCCGCTGCGCTTTCATACATGTCACTGCACTCACACTACGCTCTGCTCGCTGTTGATACGTCCTAGTAGCTCGCGTCGCACTCTCTATTCGACCAAAATACGCTCATGTGACGTCACTTGCGCTGTATAAATACCACGACTAAACGGTCAATACACAGTCCAGTTTCAAAATTATTCTACAAGTTAATCGCAGTCGAGTTACTTTCTCATTAAGACTACATCGACTGTCTTGCGCCTAGGCTGCCTCAATGCCACTTCAATGTCGCACGATTCACGCTCGCACAGCGCCCGAGTTGCGTCATTGCGGCACCCTGGCCAGAGCGCAGAGGTGGAACGAGTGTTTTGGGCATGTTCAAAGACCTTGGTGCTCATCGGAGACCATTAAGACCCTCCGGCGCCCATCTGGCGACCTATGTAGTTGTCGCTGCGATCTAGTAGTTGTTTTTGCACCCCAGCTATTTTTCAAGGACGCAGTAAGAGCGAACATAAGATCACAGACAGTGTGACAGGGGCTTTACCTCCCAAGAGAAAGTTGCCTCATACACGAACATCAATGCATTGTGTACCGCGTGTGCAAGCACTGAGAAAAAGGAACATTGTTCTTGACAGCTGTCCAGTGACTGCTGACTCACTGTGTGTTGTGCATGCCCTTGGCTTGGTGGCTTGCTGCTGCTTGGCCTGGCAGCATGGTGCTCTTGGTCATTTACTGCCTGCATGTGGAATCACATGAAGCTCAATCTGCTTCCCTGGCTGCAATGAATGGCTGAGATTCCGTCTTGGGAAGCAACGACAGCACAGTTTGAGGAATGAGAAAGCCTTGACTACAGCTGCACGACAGTCAGCGTTAGTCAGCACTGTAGACGAGGGAATTAATTGAGCTATTGATCAGTCTGAAGATTTTCTGCAAGTTCTAGATATTCAATAGCTTCGGCAGGCAAGGTATAAGTTGTTCCCAGAGTATAAATAATTGCAGCTGAAACGTTCAGTGAGTTCAGAATGAAAAAAAAATGGCAGTATTGATGATAATCATATAGAGGACCTTGCCTGCTCGTGCTGATTGCTTGCACACTTTAACTACTACAAAGATGTACAAAGCAAGAGTGGCTACTAAACAGGTAGTGTTGGTAACGAAATTAATCCAAAAGATGATGTCTTTAAAGACAGTCTCTGGCAACAATATCGGGATCACACCAACAATAATTGTTGGCACCCAGAGTCCTGCTGATATCTTTGCTGCTCGAGATTTAGAGGCTTTTTCCTTGAATGTCAGAGGATTGCGCACTGCAGAGAATCTCTCAGCTGCTATGATCACTACAAAAAAACTAGAAACAGCAACAAACATGTATTTGACACTCCGGAATGCTTTGTACACTTTGGATGAACACAATACAAATACAAATTGAGTCATAAGGAAGAGCAAGTCAGCCATGGCCAGATTGGATAAGTAGATGTTGATGATTGTACGCATGGACTTCACTCGAAGGACTGTGAAGAGAAAGTCCAAGTTTAAGAGGCGGCCGATTGGTGCATTGATTTCAGTACTTAACCATAGTATTTGTTCATTTCTTTTGTGAGTCTTGATAAAGTTCTCAAGGTGCTTTTCAACTTCATCGTTCTCCATATCCAACCTTTTTTTCAGATGTAGCAAAGAGTGTTCTGTCCTTTTTATTTCTCTTCAAGACTTTTTTACATGTACATTGTGTAATCTGTCGTTAAGGTTTTGCTCATATCTAGGTTACTTAAAAAAAAAGTGAAATGGCACTCTGCACTTTCTACATGTAGAGTTTTACAGCTCATAAAAGATTACAGACATAACGTAACGCTTGAATTATCTATAACTGAATAAAATTAGATTCAGATCAAAAAATGACACAAAATCTTTCAGGTCGTTCACTACGTTTAGCTTACAACATATTTATTTATAACTCACATATAGAAACTTGACACAAGCTTTAGATTTGGGCTTTGGATTATCAAGAAAGACATTTAAAGTACAGATACAAATAGTCACTGCATCAACAAAGATTTGAAACCATGGAATTCCTACACTCTCTTGCTTGAAATTGAAAGTGTACTTTGAATTCTGCTATCAAATGTTATACTAAGAAAGTACCCATGATCTTTTCTTTTTTGTTCTTGGCCCAAACTGATGACCAGCTTTGCCAACAGATTGGCTCCCGTCTGTACATTATTGATACTGATTGTGGGGGGGGGGGGAACCAGCCTACCAAGCAAGAACAGAAATAATGTTTGGTAGCCAATAATTTGGAATTGTAAAGTAATAATTCAATAACTGAGCATGAGCTTTTTTTGTGTTTGGTGTTTCATTCAAAAGTGAATAACTTTTGTAGTGCTTGAAAAGTAGCAGATTGGTAAAGAAATCTGTTTTTCGGGATGAAACTCGAAAATAGCACGGAACTTTAAGTAAATTTAGTACTTCAACTGGCATTTGTTGAGTAAAACTGTTATGTGGACAGTTTTCCTTGTTTTTTTTCTAGAAGGTACAGCATTAAAGGTTGCATGTCTATGTAGAGTGTGTGTGCGATTCACAGTTTCAGATGATTCTTATTTTATCTGATAAACTGTCTAAGTTGAACACATTACCCTCATTGTTTCAAGCTTAAACTTTAATTTGCACATGCACTACCAGAACTATGAACTGTAGTTATGAGAATGGTTGTATGTAGAAAGATGACAAGTTCCACACACAATCCATTACCCTTTGGAGATACGGCGGACACAATACGAGGGCACTATTTGGTCTGGGTCTACTCTTTTGCATAACCTACCCCAATATACCCAAATCAAATAACACCCTTGTATTGTGTCTGCCATATCGCAAAAGGCTTAGAAGTTGAGCTATTCACTTTTTCCAAAATTTGTGAAGACACTGGAATACTGAATGTGCTTTTCACATCTTTTCCTAATCTGCAGGTTAAACAACATGGTGACTCCACTGTGGAACCAGCCGTATGAGGACCAGCTATCCACCAAACAAACCAACACCAGGGAGTTTCTGAGGAATTTATCCAAGATGCTGCAACGGAACATTGGGGAGATGTCTCCCTGGCTGAAGCAACAAAGGTGAGCTACTCGCCAAAGACACAGGATGGTTGTGGGCCAGAATGGAAATGTGATCTTCGTTGACAAAAAACTGTTTCCAGACACAGTTTTCTGGCAAGTGGACTTACATGTACAGCTGCCCTGAAATTTTGTTAAAGTCCAGAAAAAGATGCCTATTTTTCTTGAGAATCAATTAAAACTCAGCAAAGTTTTAGCCAACTTCTGAAATCAACTTCCTTTCCACACACAAAAGTCCCAAAGATTAAAGGGGGGGGGGGAGTTGGTAAAAAGAATGTTTACAAACAAAGAGCAAAAAAATGAACACAAAACCAAAACCTCACAATTCATAAGCTGCTCGAATGAGACTCGCACCAACAATCTCCTGCTTCCTAGTGCAGATGTCTCAACTACTTGACCATCAGGCTTGCTGGGGTTGGCTGGCTGGTCCCAATCTGATATAGCAGGTGCCACAATCAATGAGTTTAATTAATTGTTTACGTAGGGGAGTTGTGAATGTGAATACCTGGTTTTGCCCTTCACCAATGTAAATTTGAATGCACTGTATATTCAGTGCTGTCTGAGAGCTTACGAGCAAAGATTCTGCCAGCTTGCTTGGGTGGGATATGAACCCATGACCTCCTGCTTACTAGTGCAGACATCTTAACCACTCAATAACAGAGCTTGCAAAGGTTAGTGGGCCAGTTTGAATCTTGTGCATATATAGCTTTGGTTACCACAAGAAATTCACAAGCCTGTTGGAGTGGGATTCGAACCCACACCTTCATGTTTAATAGTGCACTCTTCATTTGATTGACAGGAAGAACCACAGTAGGATGGCATGTGAGTTGGAGCCAATTAAGCCATCGGTGAGTAAGCTAGGTGACAAATATTTGTTGATAAAAATATAGATTTTATTTAAATTTATTTGTAGTATTGTGAATGATTCTATGAATTTCAATCTGAATGATAGTTCACTTTGGCACATAGTGTTAGGTTAGCTTGACTGGTGTGATCTTTGAACTCGGGTAGATAGATAGAGTCACCTTACTTGTACTAAATTAATATTTCAACCTGGATTTCTTGTTAGATAAACTACACAGCATGTGAATCTTTTGTGGGGTAAATATTCCTGATATTGGAGATGTCTGATTTGTATTCATTGTTTGTTTGCCCACTCACAGCCAGTATTGGAGAGTTATCGCAACAAGTGTGAGTTTACCATCGGCAAGAGTGTAGATGGCATCGGTGAGTGAAACTGGCATTTATTTTTATTAATCCAATCTCTTCATTTTTTGTGTGTATCAGCTCCGTTCACAAGTACCCCTTCGCCTGGATATAAAGTGTGCACACAGGTACGTTATAAAAACCGCAACAGAAAGTTTCAGGATTTTTTTCAGTTATCCCCCTAATTTCTTGTCAGGTCTTCATGAAACTTGGCCCTGGATAAATTGTGCAAACGTTTCAGTTTCATGTCTTATTATTTTCATTGACAGATAACACTGTTGGTTTCCTGTTTGGCGCTTACAAAGGTAAGTATTTCCTCTGAAGTTTCCTTTTTGCAAAAGACGTAGATCAGCTTTCAAGTTTGATTGGATTGGCTGTCGAGGGGTGTGGCCTGTTAGTAGCTACTGCTAATCAATTCCAACCAATCAGAATGCAACACACAGAAAGATTGACAGGTGTACATATTGTGCATTGTCTAATATGTCTGTCAGGAATTAATTATTGAAAAGAAAGAAACAAGCCACAAAAGACTTAAACCCTTGTCATCCCCTTTGCTAACCAATATGTTGGCTTACTTTTGTGGCATGAATATTGAGAGTATATGTTTGTACTTTCAACATTGACCAGCAAGCTCTTTTACTCAATAGGGATTTTTCAATTATTACATTTGTACAAACAAATATTACGTTTTAAATACAAAATTCAGGAAAATCACTGTTTATTTAAATGTTGCTAGTGAATACTTTTATTTATTTTATCACTGATCTTGCTTTCAAACGCAAATTTGCTTGTCCTATAAAAAGTATGTGACATTTAGAAACATGGTTTGTCCTGCAACTTTTTTTCTTCAAATATTACTAGGTATCAGAAAGACGTAAGAGCTCAAACACCGATTTGGTGATAGTACATTTCTGTGTTATTTGTGTTTAGAGTTTTAAATTACACAAGGAAATAGCAGCTTTAATGAATATATAAAAAGCAGCAATTCCTCGGATACTGTGCAAATTAAGATACATCTTGTATGATGCTAACTTTACAACGACATTCATATTTCACAGCATTGATTTTTCAATTACCCAAATTTTAAGTACCCTTGAGTCCATCTAAAAGAAATATTAGAATATTGCTTTGCATTTAAACATCATACAGACATGGAGCTCATAATGTAATACAACAGACTAGTGGTGCTACACAGATTATGTACAATTATAGAGCATGCAAGTCTCGCCAGTTCACATTCATTTTTCATGTGAGCATCTTGGTACCAAACACTGACTAGTCTAGCCACAGACTCCTGTCTTTGAATTCACCCAATTCACCCAATGAACGGAAGTGGAGGTCAACATTTTTTCAATTTACAATAGTAATCAGCTTGCAATATTTTTTTAATGTGTTGTAAATTGGAATGTTTTTTTCTTGTTCAGAACCCATTCTTTGCCCTTGACTGGATAAACCTAGTAAAATCACCTAGGTTTTTTAAGGCAACTTGCATGCTCTATTGACAGAAGTGGAGTACAAAATGCTGACTTTAACTATCAACTACATTTTTTTCCAGCTAGTAGCTGTGATGACACCTTTAATACACCAGACTTAAATCCCATACTGTACATCTAAAGCCCACAATGGTCTCGTATATTATATATCTGTGCTGTGCAGCAAAAAAAGTCTATACAATGGATTTCTGCTTGCTAAAGGATTTTTCAAGAAACTTTGAACAGAAAAACAGCACTTTATTTGGTCTTCAAAAAAAAAAGTTATCCACATTGTGCAACATGTATGCCCAAAGATTGGTGTAATGTATTTGGAATCAGATGCTCCTAATGCATAACTTGCAACATTGTTGATCTGTTACGTAGGCTGTGTCTGAAACAGGCTTCTAGAGCTATGGCTACGGCTATTGTCAGATTGTTCCCATGTAATTGTTATGGGTGAAGACCTGGACAATATAGCTCTAGCCATATCAATTTGTTTAATCTGTTCATTTGTGCATCAGGTATTGACCCACAAGAGAACCATTCCACCAGCACCTCTGATGTACCGGTGACTGGCGCTGCCATAATGGATCCTTATCACTATCTGACGCAACAGCACTTCACCTCAGAGATCTTCAAGATTGAGATCCAAAACCTCCCAAGACATTTTGTGACGGTGAGTTTGCTCCCTAAACATTGAACCCTCAACAATGATAATTATACAGTTTGTGCTCTTTTAAGAGTTTATAATGTACTCCATGGTTAAGATTTCTCAATGTCTTTTAATAGAATAACAAAATTAAAGGGCTGTGATATGAATGTCCCAACTTGAGCATTTAAACAACCAAGCCTTGTGTTTTTATGAAAGTAATAATAAGCAACTGAATGCTTGTAATCTTTTGAAGTGCACTTTGTACAATGCCTGTGCTTGCTCGTAACTGTTTGTAATGTTGTTCTGATACATTCATTTAGGTATTTTACACTTGACAGCATTGGGATTTTCTGTGTAATTTATGAGCCTAAATTCCTCTGCATTGAACATGTATGTATATTTACACATAGCAGTTTGTACATTAAAGTATCTCATTGACTGCCTGCCATGTGCTAAATGAAGAAAACAGTCACATCAACCTCGACCAAAACACAACTTTTTGTCCTCAAACAGCAGTGGCACTAAAGTTCCAGCTCATGACATCACTGTATTGCTCATGAATATGGAACTTGGCACTGTCATAAAAAATATTTAAAAGCCTAAAACATTTTCAGACTTAAAATACAGAGGTGCATTTCGTCAAATCAAACCTGAAAATACCTTTAAAAGGCACTTAAAACAAACATATTTACAGTGGAAAAAATTCTGGGTTATCCATATGTTAGCGCCAATACTTTCACACACACAGAAAGTAAGAAAAGTGCTCTTTTGTACACACATACAAAACCTCCTTCAAATAACAGTTAACAACTATTGAATTTGTAATTTCTGCACAACGGAATTCCAGCTGTTCCCTTCACTGATAGTTGGTTGCAATTTGCCCTGGGCCTGCACATTACTGATGTTATGATATGTACCACATTTCAACTCCAGCATATTATGCTTTAAAAATTTCTCGATGTCAAACCTACTTGGCATTCCAATGAAGAAGATGTATGGAAAAAAAACCTTAAAAACTGCTATACAGTTTGAACGCTACACAGCAAGTTCAAAAGCACACTGGCTCTGCACACTGCTCCCCTTACATGCATGGCTTGCACTCATCAGTTACCAGAGAACATTCCTCTTGACATCTTTCCAACGACTGACTCCCTTCTGGTTCTGGATGTGCATTCTGCTGCCCTTGTGCTGAAGGCTCAGTGCCAGTCAGCCCAGGACATTGTTCCTGAGTACTTGCAAGTGACTGCTGGCTCTCTGCTGGTTCTGGATGTTCACACTGTTCCCCTTGCATGGATAGCTTGCAGTCAGTCAGACTAGAGCATTGTTCCTGATGAGAACTTGCAAGCGCTGGGGTCCCTGCTGGTTCTGCATGTACCTCAACATGCACTTGAACATGCTGACTGTGCATGGATGCCTTGCTGCTGCTTTGCCTGGAACATTGTTCTTGACAGCCGTCCAGTGACTTCTGACTCTCTGTGTGTTGTGCTTGCCCTTGTCTTGATGGCTTGCTGCTGTTTGGCCTGGCAGCATGGTGCTCTTGGTCATTTTCTGCCTGTGGAATCACACGAAGCTCAATCTGCTTCCCTGGCTGCGATGGTCGGCTAGGATTCCGTCTTTGGCAACAACGACAGCACAGTTTGAGGAATGAGAAAGCCTGGACTACAGCATCACGATAGTCAGCATTTGTGGCACTGTAGACTAGGGAATTAATTGAGCTATTAATAAGGTGGAAGATTTCTGCACACATTGCCACTGTGTTTGCTTTTTCTGCAAGTTTTATAAATTCAATATACTGGGAAGGCCCACTTGTAGAAGGACTCCCTGCTGCAATGATAATAATTGCAGCTGCAGTGTTCAATGAGTTGAGAATGAAGAACACAGCAGTATTGATGATAACCATACGGAGGACCTTGCCTGCTAGCTTGGGACGGTTTGGCAACAGGGCTGATTGCTTGCTTACTTTCACCACTACATAGATGTACAAAGCAAGAGTTGCTATTAAACAGACAATGGTGATAATGGAATGAATCCAAAAGTTGATGTTAACAAAGACAGTCTCTGGTAAGAATATCAGAATCACAGCAACAGTAATTGTTGGCACCCAGAGTCCTGCTGATATCTTTGCTGCTCGAGATTTAGAGGCTTTTTCCTTGAATGTCAGAGGATTGCGCACTGCAGAGAATCTCTCAGCTGCTATGATCACTACAAAATAACTAAAAACAGCAACAAACATGTATTTGACACTCTGGAATGCTTTGTAGTCTTTGGATGAACACAATACAAATATAAATTGAGTCATAAGGAAGAGCAAGTCAGCCACAGCCAGATTGGATAAGTAGATGTTGATGATTGTACGCATGGACTTCACTCGAATGACTGTGAAGAGAAAGACAAAGTTCAAGAGGAGGCCGATTGGTGCAATGATTTCAGTACTTAACCATAGTATTTGTTCATTTCGTTTGTGAGTCTTGATAAAGTTCTCAAGGTGTTTTTCAACTTCATCGTTCTCCATATCCAACCTTTTTTCAGATGTAGCAAAGAGTGTTCTGTCCTATTTTAAGATCACTCCAGTTTTATACTAACAGCGAATATAAGACCTGGAGCAATGTGTAGTTGAAACAAAAAGCTTCTGCATTTTTCCCCTTAGTGTTTTTTTATCTCTAAGATTTGTAAGGATAAGTTCTTTGTTCCTTGTTTTGAATGCATACTAAACCAAAGTAGACAATAGAGTTTCACAGTTTACTTTGGCATAGATGTGCTTCAGAATAACTTTTTATTTTCTCTTCAAGACTTTTTTACATGTACATTGTGTAATCCGTCGTTAAGGTTTTGCTCATATCTAGGTTACTCAAAAAAAAAGTGAAATGGCACTCTGCACTTTTTACAGAGTTTTACAGCTCATAAAAGATCACAGACATAACATACAATGGATTATCTATAACTGAATAAAATTAGATGCAGATCAAAAAATGACACAAAATCATTCAGTTCGTTCACTACATTTTGCTTACAACATATTTATTTATAACTCACATATAGAAACTTGACACAAGCCTTAGATTTAGTGTTTGGATAATCAAGAAAGACATTTAAAATGCAGATACAAATAGTCACTGCATCAACAAAGATTTGAAACCATGGAATTCCTACACTCTGAGCTTTTTTGTGTTTGGTGTTTCATTCAAAAGTGAATAACTTTTGTATTGCTTGAAAAATAGCAGATTGGTAAAGAAATCTGTTTTTCGGGATGAAACTCGAAAATAGCACGGAACTTTAAGTAAATTCAGTACCTCATCTGGCATTTGTTGAGCAAAACTGTTATGTGGACAGTTTTCCTTGTTTTTTTTTTCTACAAGGTACAGCATTAAAGGTTGCATGTCTATGTAGAGTGTGTGTGCGATTCACAGTTTCAGATGATTCTTATTTTATCTGATAAACTGTCTAAGTTGAACACATTACCCTCATTGTTTCAAGCTTAAACTTTAATTTGCACATGCACTACCAGAACTATGAACTGAAGTTATGAGAATGGTTGTATGTAGAAAGATGACAAGTTCCACACACAATCCATTACCCCTTTGGAGATACGGTGGACACAATACGAGGGCGCTATTTGGTCTGGGTCTAGTCTTTTGCATAAGTTACCCAAATATACCCAAATCAAACACCCTTGTATTGTGTCTGCCATATATCGCAAAAGGCTTATAGCAGTTGAGCTATTCACTTTTTCCAAAATTGTTAAGACTCTGAAATACTGAATGTGCTTTTCACATCTTTTTCCAATCTACAGGTTAAACAACATGGTGACTCCACTGTGGAACCAGCCGTATGAGGACCAGCTATCCACCAGACAGACCAACACCAGGGAGTTTCTGAGGGATTTATCCAAGATGCTGCAACAGAACATTGGGGAGATGTCTCCCTGGCTGAAGCAACAAAGGTGAGCTACTCACCAAAGACACGGGATGGTTGTGGGCCAGAATGGAAATGCGATCTTCGTTGACAAAAAACTGTTTCCAGACACAGTTTTCTGGCAAGTGGACTTACATGTACAGCTGCCCTGAAATTTCGTTAAAAGTCCAGAAAATGATGCCTCATTTTTCTTGAGAATCAATTAAAACTCAGCAAAGTTTTAGCCAACTTCTGAAATAAACTTCCTTTCCACACACAAAAGTCCCAAAGATTAAAGGGGGGGGGGGGGAGTTGGTAAAACAAATGTTTACAAACAAAGAGCAAAAAAATGAACACAAAAGCAAAACTTCACAATTCATAAGCTGCTCGAATGAGACTCGCATCAACAATCTCCTGCTTCCTAGTGCAGATGTCTCAACTACTTGACCATCAGGCTTGCTGGGGTTGGCTGGCTGGTCCCAATCTGATATAGCAGGTGCCACAATCAATGAGTTTAAATAATTGTTTACGTAGGGGAGTTGTGAATGTGAATACCTGGTTTTGACCTTCACCAATGTAAATTTGAATGCACTGTATATTCAGTGCTGTCTGAGAGCTTACAAGCAAAGATTCTGCTAGCTTGCTTGGGTGGGATATGAACCCATGACCTCCTGCTTACTAGTGCAGACATCTTAACCACTCAATAACAGAGCTTGCAAAGGTTAGTGGGCCAGTTTGAATCTTGTGCATATATAGCTGTGGTTACCACAAGAAATTCACAAGCCTGTTGGAGTGGGATTTGAACCCACAACCTCGTGTTTAATAGTGCACTCTTCATTTGATTGACAGAAAGAGCCACAGTTGGATGGCATGTGAGTTGGAGCCCATTAAGCCATCGGTAAGTAAGCTAGGTGACAAATATTTGTTGTTAAAAATATAGATTTTACTTAATTTATTTGTAGTATTGTGAATGATTTTATGAATTATAATCTCAATGATAGTTCACATTGGCACATAGTGTTAGGTTAGCTTGACTGGTGTGATCTTTAAACTCGGGTAGATAGAGTCACCTTACTTGTACTAAATTGATATTTCAACCTGGAATTCTTGTTAGATAAACTATACAGCATGTGAATCTTTTGTGGGGTAAATATTCCTGACATTGGAGATGTCTGATTTGTTCCTTTAAATTTCATTGTTTGTTTGCACACTCACAGCCAGTATTAGAGAGCTATCGCATCAAGTGTGAGTTTACCATCGGCAAGAGTGTAGATGGCATCGGTGAGTGAAACTGGCATTAATTTTTATTTATCCAATCTGTTAATTTTTTGTGTGTATCCGCTCCGTTCAAAAGTACCCCCTCGCCTGGATATAAAGTGTGCGCACAGGTACATAATGTGCCTGTTATGAAAACCGCAACAGAAAGTTTCAGGATTTTTCTAAGTTATCCCCCTAATTTCTTGTCAGGTCTTCATGAAACTTGGCCCTGGATAAATTGTGCAAACGTTTCAGTTTCATGTCTTATTATTTTTATTGACAGATAACACTGTTGGTTTTCGGCTTGGCGCTTACAAAGGTAAGTATTTCCTCTGAAGTTTCCTTTTTACAAAAGACGTAGATCAGCTTTTATGTTTGATTGGATCGACTGTCGAGGGGCGTGGGCTATTAGTAGCTAATGCTGATCAATTCCAACCAATCAGAATGCAACACTCAGAAAGATTGACAGGTGTACATATTGTGCATTGTCTAATATGTCTGTCAGGAATTAATTATTGAAAAGAAAGAAACAAGCCACAAAAGACTTAAACCCTTCTCATCCCCTTTGCTGACCAAAATGTTGGCTTACTTCTGTGGCATGAATATTGAGGGTATATGTTTGTAATTCCAACATTGTTCAGCAAGCTTTTTTACTAAATAGGGATTTTTCAACAATTACATTTGTACAAGCAAGAAATAGGTTTTAAATAAAAGAAATTCAGGAAAATCACTGTTTTTTTAAAATGTTGCTAGTGTACACTTTTATTTATTTTATCACTGATCTTGCTTTTACACGCAAATTTGTTTGTCCTATAAAAAGTATGTGACTTTTAGAAACATGGTTTGCCCTGCAAATTTTTTTTCAAGTATAACTAGGTATCAGAAAGACATAAGAGCTCAAACACCGATTTGGTGATAGTACATTTCTGTATTATTTGTGTTTAGAGTTTAAATTACACAAGGAAATAGCAGCTTTAATGAATTTTTTCAATTACCTAAATTTGAAGTACCATTGAGTCCATCTAAAAGAAATATTAGAATATTGCTTTGCATTTAAACATCATACAGACATGGAGCTCATAATGTAATACAACAGACTAGTGGTGCTACACAGATTATGTACAATTATAGAGCATGCAAGTCTCACCAATTCACATTCACTTTTCATGTGAACATCTTGGTACCAAACACTGACTAGTCTAGCCACAGACTCCCGTGTTTGAATTCACCCAATTCACCCAATGAACGGAAGTGGACGTCAACATTTATTCAATTTCCTATAGTAATCAACTTGCAATATTGTTTTAATGTGTTGTAAATTGGAATGATGATTTCTTGTTCAGAACCCATTCTTTGCCCTTGACTGGATTAACCCAGTAAAATCACCTAGGTTTTTGAGGTTAACTTGCACGCTCTATTGACAGAAGTGGAGTACAAATTGCTGACTTTAACTATCAACTACATTTTTTTCCAGCTAGTAGCTGTGATGACACCTTTAATACACCAGACTTACATGTAAATCCCATACTGTACATCTAAAGCCTACAATGGTCTCGTATATTATATCTGTGCTCTGCAGCAAAACATCTGTTCAATTGGATTTCTCTTTGCTAAAGATAAAATTCAAGAAAGGTTGAACACAAATTCTGCACTTTATTTGGTCTGCAAATATAATTATCCACATTGTGCTACAAGTATGCACAAAGATTGGTGTAATGTATTGGGAATCAGATGCTGCTAATGCATAACTTGCAACTTTGTTGATCTGTTACTTAGGCTGTGTCTGAAACGGGCTTCTAGAGCTATGGCTACGGCTATTGTCAGGTTGTTCTCATGTAACTGTAATGGGAGAAGACCTAGACAATAGCCATAGACATCTCACTTGCTCATATTAGACTTTAAAATAAAATAGCAATTTAGTCGTTTTTTCTTCTCTAATTGGAGTCGGTCTTTTTAATCTGTTCATTTGTGCATCAGGTTTTGACCTACAAGAGAACCATTCCACCAGCACCTCTGACGTACCGGTGACTGGTGCTGCCAAAACGGATCCTTATCACTATCTGACGCAACAGCACTTCACCTCAGAGATCTTCAAGATTGAGATCCAAAACCTCCCAAGACACTTTGGATTTGCGGTGAGTTTGCTCTCTAAGCATTCAACCCTCGATAATGATAATCATACAGTTTTGTGCTCTTGTAACAGTTCATATTGTGCTCCATGGTTGGGATTTCTTAAGGTCTTTTTATGCATCAGAACTGATTAAAAGGCCATTGAATGAATTTCACTAGCCTCATCTTTATATGAAAGTAATGGTTAACAACTAGATACTAGGTAATTTTTTTTCCCCAGTTCACTTTTTACAATGCCAGTACACTTTAAGAGTTGTTTCTAATGTAGCTGTGAAGTTGAACTAGTTGTTTCACATTTACAGCTTTGGGCTTTTCTGTGTAATATGAACCTAACATTCATTGCATTGTGCATTTATAAATGTACAAAGCAGTTTGTGCATTAAAGCATCTCATTGGCTGCATCATAATGCCATGTGCTAAATGAGTGCAACAGTCACATCAAACTCCACCAAAACACTGTTGTAATTTTTTTGTCATCAAACAGCAGTGGCACTGCAGTTCCAGCTCATGACATCACTGCACTGTTTCGTGAAAATATTTAATTGCCTGGAACATCATAAGACTTAAAACGCAGAGGTGGATTTCATAAAATCAAGAACTGATGTTTCAAAGGCACCTCAAAAATTACATATTTACAGTGGAAAATGTCAGGTGTGTCATATATGTTAGTGCCAATATGTGTATATTTTCACACTGAAAAAGTAATAAAAAATATTGTTCTTTTAAACATACACGAAAAGCTCATTAAAGTAACAATTAACATAGGCCCTAATGGGATTTGTAATTTTTGAACCACTTGCATACATACATTGAATGAGTTCCAGCTGTTCGCTTCACTGATAGTTGGTTGCAATCTGCTATGGGCCTGCACATTACTGATGTCATGGTAGATTCAGGTATTGGCAATCTGCTTTTACTAAAATACATTTGAACTCCAGCATCTTATGCTTTCAATATTTCTTGACATCAAATCTCCTTGGCATTTCAGTGAAGTAAATGTATGAAACAGCCTTAAATCTGCTCTACAGTTTAAACACTACACAGCTCCCCTTACGTGGATGGCTTGCACTCATCAGTTACCAGAAAACATTGTTCTTGACAACTTTCCAACGATTGACTCCCTTCTGGTTCAGGATGTTCATACTGCTGCCCTTGTGCTGAAGGCTCGATGCCAGTCAGCCCAGGACATTGTTCCTGAGTACTTGCATGTGACTGCTGGCTCTCTGCTGGTTCTGGATGTACACACTGTTCCCCTTGCATGGATGGCTTGCAGTCAGTCAGACTAGAGCATTGTTCCTGATGAGAACTTGCAAGCGCTGGGGTCCCTGCTGGTTCTGCATTAACATGTGCATGCACCTCAACATGCACTTGAACATGCTGCTGACTGTGCGTGGATGCCTTGCTGCTGCTTTGCCTGGAACATAATTGTTCCTGACAGCTGTCGAGTGACTGCTGACTCTCTGTGTGTTGTGCATGCCCTTGGCTTGGTGGCTTGCTGCTGCTTGGCCTGGCAGCATTGTGCTCTTGGTCATTTTCTGCCTGTGGAATCACACGAAGCTCAATCTGCTTCCCTGGCTGCGATGGTTGGCTGATATTCCGTCTTGGGCAACAACGACAGCACAGTTTGAGGAAAGAGAAAGCCTTGACTACAGCATCACGATAGTCAGCATTTGTGGCACTGTAGACCAGGGAATTGATCGAGCTATTGATAAGTTGCAGAATGTTTTTAGATATAATCAGAGCTTGTAGTTTTTCTGCAAGTTCTAGATATTCAACCTCTTGGGTCGGTCTAGTATAACTGTTACGTATGATTCTAATAATTGCACTTGCAATGTCTAGTGAGTTCAAAACGAAGAACACAGCAGTATTAATGATTATCAAACGGAGGACCTTGCCTGCTCGCTTGGGACGCTTTGGCAGCAGGGCTGATTGCTTGCGGACTTTCACTACTACATAGATGTACAAAGCAAGAGTTGCTATTAAACAGACAATGTTGATAAGGTGAGCAATCCAAAAGATTATTTCATAGAAGACGGTGTCTGTTATTGGTAAAAATATGAGAATCACAGCAACGATAATTGTTGGATCCCAGAGTCCTGCTGATATCTTTGCTGCTCGAGATTTAGAGGCTTTTTCTTTGTGTGTTAAAGGTCTGTGCACTGCAGAGAATCTCTCAGCTGCTATGGTAACCACAAAGAAATTACAAACCGTTATAAGCATATAACGAACACCCCGGGCTGCAACTTGCAAGGCGTCTATTGGTTGAATAAACAGTGCATACAGAAGGCTATATGTAAGGAAGAGCAAGTCAGCCACAGCCAGATTGGATAAGTAGATGTTGATGATTGTACGCATGGACTTCACTCGAATGACTGTGAAGAGAAAGACTATGTTGAGTAGGATGCCGATCGGTGCAATGATTTCAATACTTAACCATTTTATTTGAAGAAGTCCGTGTTTAGTCTCGTGAAAGTTGTCACGAAGCTTGTCAAGTTCACATTCCCTCCCAGTTGATGGAGTGGAGCTGTTTTGATAGTCATCACCCATAGTTTATTTACAGTGTTGTATTGATCGTCATGCCGAACATTTTGTGCACTATTGGAAGATCACTGCTGTTTTGCCTTTAACAGAGAATGTACACTGTGCGTTTATGAGAAATTAAGTTGAAAACTAAAGCTCCTTCGTATTTGTCCGGATTTTTAATCTTTTTATTTTGGTTTTGTTTTAACAGCAGTGTTACAAAAATAATCAACACAGTTTCATAATTGACATTGGCATGATAGTTGCCATTTTTGTTTAAGTTTGTGTATACATCCTTTTAGTTTAGTGTCTTTCCCTCCCATACATTGCATACACATGTGCGCCTTGTTCTACAACCCAAGCTATCCCAAAGCCACAAAATCCCAGCCCTTGAATAATATTGTACTTTGATGGATTCAGAATTTCAGAACACATGTGTTTCCATTACAGATAATGTGATATTAGTTTTTGTTGGGATTTTGGAGAATTGATAAAGCTTCCTTGGAGTTAAAGAGTTAAATCTTGGATTAACCCTAACCTTTCCCAAATCCTTCAAAACGTGGTTTGCAAAATGGAGGATTTTGCAGGATTGTGGCTCTGTGGCAAAAAAAATGTGTGGCTGTTTTTTACGGATGCACTGTTTTAATATCTTTATGGGCCAGACCTTGTTTATATGCTCAGCCGTGTTGTTTATATGCTCAGCCGTGCATAAATTTAGGCCTAGATTATACTTGAAATCCTCCGCACTGCTCCAGGATGTCCCTTGCCCTGTCTCAACATATTGACAGTGATTGCTGGAGGATTTTGCAGGATTGAGGCAGTGGTTACCCCATTCTAGAAATAACTTATAATTTTGCAGGATTACGTTTCCCGTTTTCTAAAATCAAAATTCCATTTTCTTAACATTGAAATTTCCATGTTCTTCGGGTTTCTTGAAAAACAGAAACCACGATCACATACAACACTTGAAGTTTCGCTCTAGATGTCAACGCACGCACTCGGCTGAGGGGGAATACAGAAAATCATGTATAATACATGTACATACACGTCCATGGAATACAATGGAATGTCGTTCTGTGATGCATAATTCGTGACGGACGGCTTGCCTGTGGACCAATTCGGAACCACTGTGCGCGCTGTGAGAGACGAGAAGGTCGTTTAGCAGTTGTGATACGGATGATGCGGTATTCTTGGTTTCAAGACGTTCTTTGCGGTATTCAGCGTTTGAATTGCATGAACTGTGCGTGAGCATGTTGCACAGACTGCTCTGCGAAAGACGTCGTGGAACCAAGTTATGTACATCCAGTCGAGTGTCCATATTTGAAAAGATGGTAAACTGAAACTGTGTTCTAAATCAATCTGTTCAGCAAAATGTTGCAAATATTGCAACAGTATTTGCTCTGAATCAAACACGATACAGTTTAGGGCAATTTCAGCATTATGTAATGTTCATGGCAGGGATTTACAAAGCTCAGTGATTTAACCTAAAAGCCTATTTTTCAAAACTCGCACATCCATGATCTACATGTAGTTATGGTTATGGAATACACATTTTTTGGAGGGGGGGGGGGCCAACAAAAAGTTTTGGTCCTCCAAAAAGTTGGTCCCAAAAATTACGGTGTGGGGTTCAGGGCCTGCAGGGAAGCGAACATTTTTTTGGACTCTAGATGATCCGTGGTGTGATTTGAGGCAACCAAATCTTTTTGAGGAAAAGATGATGGTGTATGTGGTACCTGCCTTTATTGCGACGTCACATTAAAAAATGGGTTCGTTTTGGAGGAGAAGAGCAATGGCCCTGTTGCCCCCCCCCCCCCAAGGATCAGCCCTTGGGTCCAGGAGATTACAAACTACGAGTCTTGGATCAAGAAAGGAATCATTAATTAGATATCACGGTTAACTGGCTCTGTCTTGGAGGTTACACTTCCTTTCATAATGCTAGAATTGCCCATGTGTGTATTTCTTTTTGTTCTGACAAGAGTCACAAGGGAGGTGTAATCTATTTTCAGCTGCACTAAATCTTCACAAACCGTCGCGTCAGTACAACAAGCTCGTATCTCCTAAAATGGCATGAACGACACAAAATGCGAGTTTTAGAATGTCAAAAGGTTGTATCTCGCTTAAAATAACCCGGATGTACACGCTAAGGCAAAAAAAAAAAGGTCTCTGGTATGGAGCTTGCCCAAAAAGTCGTGCGGCGACACGTTTTTTTTTTGTTTTACCTGTTTTTTTTGCTTCAAATGTTGGCTGATGACTGCAAATGGTGCCCGACTAAACTTAGTACAAATATATGGGAGTCTAGAGAGGCCACATAAAGCTTATTCTCGATGATAACCCCATCTTAAAACACGTTAAAATTGTGCAGCTGCAGAATTCCAGTCAAACCAATGAGTTTGGCGGTTTTGAGACGTCATCTTTTGTTGGAAAAAAAAACTTTTTCATTTTGCAGACGCGCATGGCTTCGGCGACGCGCGGGCCTACCAGAAAC